TTGCCATTAGCAAATAGAATCAAGTGAGGTCAAGAGTTGTACTGGAATGGGCTTTATGACAAGAACTGGAAGAATAATCTTGTGGGTGAGTCGGCCAATGTGAGTCAACCCGTAAAAGATGTGGAAGAGAAGGATGTCTGAAAACAAAAATCCACTCATGGCTCGAAGAAATTGTTGTATGGAAGTTCAATGGAGTATGTGTTTGTAGATGATTATGATGAGAGTGATGAGGAGACAAGAGCCTATGAATCACTAGATGTTTCTAATGAGGCTAAGGAGGCCAATACAGGTCCTTATAGATGATCTTGATGATGGCAATAAGGCCACATCAGGTCCCTCCACAAAAGCTAAACTCAAAGAAAAAATTGAGAAATGAAAATCTTGTGAAGGATTTAAGAAATGGAGGTCTGGTTCATCTATAAATGTGTTTGATGATGGTGAGGATTCGTGTAGAGAAAATTATAAGATCCAATGGATTTTGATGTGGTACATATTGCTGGCTCAAAGAATGAAAAAACATCTAAATTTGACTCTAAGAAAACTGAGAAATCTGGTCCACTTCATTTAGAGAATAATAATTCCAACATGGTTAATTTGGGTGACAAGGAATGAGAAGGAGGAGGAATATGTTTTGCTTCTGATAGCTCACATGAAACAAAGACTCTTGTCTAGTGAAGAGGAAAATGTTCATTCAGATGATGAGGATTATGACCTAGGAGGGTCAGAAAATTCTGGGTTTTCTAAGGAGTCAAGTTCACCTCGTGGATAAGACCAGTAGAGCAATGAAAGTGATGTTGAGGTAAAGATGCGCCAATGTATTGATGAATGTGATATTGAGATGAAAAAGGGAATATGTTAATGAAAAGGAGAAAAGAAGGGCAACATTTTAATGAAAGTAAGAGAGTGAGAAAGAGGAAACATGTCGAGAATGAGAATGTTGAAGTGAAGAAGGGGGACAACTTTAATTGTAATGAGGTTAATAAGGGAAGTAGGAAAGGGGATAAGGGGAAATGTGCTGAGGATGATAACATTGAGGTGAAGGGGGAGACTTTTAATGATAGTGAGGTTAGGAAGGGAAATGAAAAGTGGATGTTGGTATAACGAGAAAGAGAAGGCTTGGGTTGGATACAAATGCTGAAGTTAATAGAAAGAAAGATGTTCTTGTTCATTTTGGCTAGAATTCTAAAAGTGTGGCACAACAAACTTGTTCACAAATAAGTCCAAGAATTGAAAAATAGGGTATTGAATACGTAAATGGTAGAGAAAAAAATGTGTTTGACAAGCATGATGATATTCACAAAAAGAAAACTGGGTCAATTGATGGAAGAAACGATGAAGAGGATGAAACCTATGGTGGTAGGTGGAAGGATGTGCAAAGAGTACGCATGAAGAATAAAGGGGAGAAGCTTACTAACAGACAGTTCTTATGGGAAACAGAAGATTGCAATGTTTTTAAGGTTCTTGTGGATTCCATCTATGAAAATAGAGAAGTGTTACGGGATGGGTCAGATTCCTTTAGGGATGAATCCCCCAAAGATGAAACAAATCAACCAATAGATGGCACTACGGGACGGGTCATGTTTCTTGGCAATGTTTTAGCACTAGTGTCAGATTATGGAGGCATTCATCAAAATAGGAATCAAAGACGAAAAGTCACCCACAAGTACCTCAATAATTCGTTCCACCATGTCAAAAAAAAAAAAAAATGCTCATCATGTATCTTTGAAAAGTCACTGGTGCATTGCATAATCTATACGACATTCGTCTATACGCGAAAGTTCCAAAGAGGCATGTGAAATTGTATTTTCTTGATCTTCTAAAGCTATTACAATTTGGTTGTAACCGGAATAACCATCAAGAAAACAATAATATTGATTTCTTATAGGTCTCTCGAGCATCTGATCAACGAAGGGATAAGAGAAGTGATCGTTTCTTGTTGCATCATTGATCTTTCTGTAATCAATACACACCCTCCAACCTATGATCGTTCTCTGAGGAATCAATTCATTTTTTTCATTCTTTATTGCAGTAATACATTATCGTTTTGGTACTACATGTACTGCACTCACCCATTTGCTGGAAAAGATTGGATATATGACCCCAACATCCAACAATTTCAAAATTTCAGCACGCAGCACTTTTTTCATGTAAGGATTGAGGCGCGTTTGAGCTTTCTATGGATGGCTTTGATTTCTATTCAAGTACTATTTTATGCATGCACATAGAAGGGGTTGATCCCCTTAATGTCGGCAATTGTCCATTCCAAGGTTGTTTTGTGTTCTCTTAGTACCCATAGTAGTTTTTCGTTCTTACGTGCACTTAGATCAGAGGCTATAATGAAGAAGAGTTTTAGAAGAATGCATATTTTAACATATCAAGAAGAAGATTCAATTCTAGCTTTGAAGGCTCAATAATGGACAGAAAATTTTGGTTTATGGAGGCAAGGTTTCAAACTTCGGTTGCCATCTAGGTGGGTAGATGGCTGCAGCATTGAGTGTTGCCTCAACTACTACGTTTTCTTCATTTTCAAACTTCATGCCATGTTGTGTGATGCATATTTCCAGAGGGTCATCAATGCTTATCTTAATGAAAGTCTTTTTGACAAGATAATCCACAACGTCAATACTAAAACAATCATAAGCTCCCAATGATTTTATCAAAGCTTCGAACATCTGAAACTCAATAGTAATATCTTGCATAGTCATGGTTACTAAACCAGATTTAACTTCAATCTTTCCACCTACAGTCGCCATGAAGGGTCAACCTAGGATCAGAGGAAGTTCACAATCTTTGATCTCCATTTCTTCCATGTTCAAAATAATGAAATCAGCTAGGAGGATAAATTGATCAACTTTGACAAGTACATCTTCAATAATGCCTCTTGGGTATTTCTCTGAGTGATTCGTAAATTGCAAAGATATTGAAATAAGTTTCATCTCCCCCTAGCTTAAATGTTCTTATACAGAATAAGACTGACACTTGCCCCTAAATCAAGCAAAGCCCTTTTAAATGTTTTGTCGCCAATAATACATGGGATTGTAAAGCTTCCTGGATCTTGAAGCTTTGGTGGCAATTTTCATTGAAGAACTAAACTAACAGTTTCGGGAAGCTTCAAGTTCCACTTTTAGTCATCTCTTGCTTCCGGTTCTGGCAAGTGGTACTTTGGATTAGACTTGTGTATTGTTGATATTTCCGTTGAAATATCTAAAAAATCAAGGATTAATATGGAAAGGCGGTGAAATGCAAACTTTATCCTGTATCGTCGAGATATTGGAAAATCAATAAATATCTACAATGTTTACCGATTCGCAATAGAAATTTTGCCAGAGCCCATTGCAATTTTAAACTTTTGAATTTGTTTGAGAAATTTTTCTCTAATTTTAAATCTGAATGAGTTGATATATCCATTCCATTGCAACTTTTCATAATTTCTGTCAAAGGAAAATGATGTTGATACATCCATCGATATTTTCATAAATTTACATACCAATATTTTCACATGTATTGATATTTTCATAAATTTACATATCAATATTTTCACATATATCAATATTTTCATAAATTCACATACTAATATTTTCACATGTATCGATATTTTCATAAATTTACATATCAATATTTCCACCTGTATCGATATTTTAAACACTGATTTAGAAGTAGTGGTCCGTGGCGGTTAAAAGCAGTGGCCTAAGCTCGGCGTCTGATGCCAGGGGCTAGGTATGATGCATTTCTATGCTTGATTTAAAGTTACCAACCACTACTTTTTTTGTCCGGAGACTTGTACCGGGCTCATCCTTGAGCCTCTATGTTCTTTCGAGCTTTTTTGTGAGTTATTTATTTGGATCTAAATACGAAAATAGACTTTTATTGATTTATAATGGATCTTCAAAAGACCCCATATTAACAAGTCCCATAACTCCTTATTCAAGAATTTTCTTTTGATTTGGTGTAGTGAATGTCAATGATTCAATCAATATTATACTAAACTGTCACATCTCGGGCTCGACTCCACCGTAGCACAATATTGTCCGCTTTAGGCCCCAACTACGCCCTCACGGTTTTTTTTCTGGGAACTCACACGAGAACTTCCTAGTGGGGCACCCATCCTGGTATTGCTCTTGCGCGAACTCGCTTAACTTCGAAGTTCTGATGAACTCCGAAGCCAATGAGCTCTCAAAAGGTCTTGTGCTAGGTAGAGATGAGACTATACATATAAGGCTTACAAGATCCACTCCCCTGAGCGATATGGGATGTCACAATCCACCCCCCTTAGGGGCCCGACGTCCTCGTCGGCACACATCTGGCCAGGGATTGGCTATGATACCAAATTGTCCCATTCCGGCCTGGGCCCCAACCATATCCCAAGCTTGACTCCACTGTAGCACGATATTATCCGCTTTAGGCCCTGACTACTCCCTCATGGTTTTGTTTCTGGGAACTCACATGAGAACTTCTCAGTGGGGCACCCATCCTGGGATTGCTCTCGCACAAACTCGTTTAACTTCGAAGTTCCGATGAATTCCGAAGCTAATGAGCTCCCAAAAGGCCCCGTGCTAGGTAGAGATGATAATATACATATAAGGTGTACAAGATCCACTCCCCTAGACGATATGGGATGTCACATAAACCACCAATTTGCTTAATTCACCACAACAAAATCTCTCCACAAACATGTCAGGAATGGTACCAACAAACAAATAATTTATAAAAGAGTAATGTTAGAGATACCAAATTTGGAGACAAAATTTTAGAAACTAAAGAACATGAAAGTTGAAGATTATTTTATTACTTACGTGTTGATAAACATGCTCATTGATGACACATAATTTAGTTCGTGAATTTTATCTTCCTAGCATTACTCTTTATAAAAACACATTCAAATCTCTTGGTTCAATAGGAGATTCTGAGAAATTTCTCTCTGCGTTTGGGCCTTTAACCAACCCATTATTGATTATGGACCCAGTTGGTATGACCCGTTTTAAAGTTGGCCCATTTGCTCCTTTTGAGGGGCTCTATAAATCCGAACAAAGCAAATTAGGGTTTCTCTATTTGCTCTGAGAAGAAGAAAGTACCAGCCGCTTCAGCCCTTCACAGCCAGCAGACCCTCCAATCCATAACAATGGTATTGCTTTATTCTCTCTCTCTCTCTCTCTCTCTCTCTCTCTCTCTCTCTCTATATATATATATATGTGTATGAATCCATCCACTGTTTGTTTCCTCAGAAATTTGTTTGTTGTTTTAGTTTTCTGGGAAAATGTTGTAGTGATATGGGCTTATATTTTTTGTGGAATTAAACGATAAAAAATAGTTAGGTGTTTTGAGCTACCTCTAAACAAGAAAAAGTTATGTTGATTTGGTAGTTATGTCCGCTGTGTTTAAAGGAATGAATGTTTTGTGTGTTTCAGACTAAGAGGACGAAGAAGGCCGGTATTGTTGGGAAATATGGTAAGCTAAGTTCCATTTGTTTTACTTAAATCTTAATGCTTTTGTTGTAATGCAATCTGTTCTCTGTTATGTTGCGATCTCTGAAATTACTCATTATTCTGTAATTTAATTGCTCGTCTCATGGTCGTGTATCGGTGTGAAATTTATTTGCTCTAGTAGGTTTAACTTGGCCGAGACGCGGTTTATGTTGTGATTGTATGCCTGAATAATTGATTTTCATTTTTGCAATACAAGAGCTAGTTATAGTTACCTCGCAGCCAATATGTAGTATGTAAAACCGAATTTGGGATTGGAAATTGAACCGTCTTTTATTTTTGTTCGTTTTCTGTTTTAGTTTCGTTGGTAAGGGAAATGTGTGTTCATGTGCGTCAAATGGTTTTGGTGGAAATTATACACAACAATACAACATTCAGATTTGTTAAGAAATTCTTTGAGTAGATATGTTTCGCATTTGTGACGTTTTGATCTGATTCTAGATTGAAGTGTTTACGATTCAGTCTTCCGCCTCTTATTACAGGAACCCGTTACGGTGCCAGTCTGCGTAAGCAGATTAAGAAAATGGAAGTTAGCCAGCACAGCAAGTATTTCTGTGAATTCTGTGGCAAGGTATTGTGGTTGTATTTTGTCAACTATTTGTCTCTCTAGTCTGAGGAAACATGATTAAATTTTTCATTTCCATGTAGTATGCTGTGAAGAGAAAGGCCGTTGGAATTTGGGGATGCAAGGACTGCGGAAAAGTGAAGGCAGGCGGTGCCTATACTTTGAAGTAAGAACCCTTTTTCACTGCTTTCTCACTTTTCTTGAATTTTCTGTTCGCGTAATTAACTAAATGATCATTCCGTAATTTTAAACAGCACTGCTAGTGCTGTGACGGTTAGGAGCACCATTAGAAGGCTGAGGGAGCAAACCGAGAGTTAAGCCTGCTGTTGTGACCTCTACTACGTTTTGAGCATTTGCAGCTATGGATATTCCAAACAGTTTTGGGGATGTGGTTCTCCTTGTATTTCATTATATTGTTTCGAACAAGTTAGATGAAAATGTTGACTCGTTGTAGTATGTTTAATCTGAGATTTTAGCGGCCATCTTTGAATTCGGAGTGCAATTTAATTGTTTCTGGATTTCTGTTTGATACTGCAAGTTATGTCATCTCTTTTGCTGAGCGCAAACTTTAAGCTTGCATCCAACCCTGAGCAGCTCTGGTCTCTTTAGCTTTGCATCCAACAGTGACCTGCACGGCAATACTTCAAACGCTGACGTCGGTCTGAACTAATCTCGGACGGATCATGTGCCTCAAACTGCCGCCCTTGAGCAATGAACAAGTAGATTCTGCAGAAGGGTGTTCCGCTCTCAATGGTCTTCGATTTGTCGGATGCCATAGCAGTCCATGGAGACCGGATCAATCGGATGCCACGGTAGTCCATGGAGACCGACTTAGGTGCCGCAATCTCTTTTTTCCGTCTTTAATGTTCGCATGTCTTGCTATCTTATACCAACTCTGTAGTGGTCAGGTGCCGCAATCCATTTGCTGCTTCTGGCCCAGCTACTCTTACATCGGATTGTTATGAAACCAAACGGTGATGATACTGAAAGTCTGAAAACGCCAGTACAACTCTCTCCTAATCCCCTCGAACTGAAGACCCATCCACCTCTATCTTCGTTATTACTTGAAACATAGCGAGTTATTCATTCAGATCCAATCCTAGAGACCTAACAAGGCCCTCAACTCTAGTCGGAGTGGATTGGATTGGAAAAGTCACCATTCAATCCAACAACCGGATGCGGATTGGCTTTATCTTATTAGATTATAATTGATGAACGCCGTAGGTGAAGGAAAAACCAGTTCTATGAATTAAAAAAAAAAAAAAAAAAAAAAAAAAAACCCCTAGTTGTCAATCCTACAATGTGTAAACGGAAATACGATCCTGTATTAATTTTCTTTTTGATGTATTTCGTACTTATAGTCGAATAGGGGTGTGCTATCCACACACCCTATTTTACTTCTTACACATCCTTGATAATTTATGCCCGTTGTTCTTCTTCAATTCATCCGATCCGATGGTCGAAAATTAAAAGTGTGTGAGAAGTAAAATAGAGTGGATATCACACCCCAATCGAATATAGAGTCGTTATAGAATATTCATGGCTCGAGTTCATCCAGGCAAAATTACATATATAACAATAACCAGTAACGTTTACAATAGGAAGCAAAAACGTAGAATCACAAACCTTGGTCTATAACTTGCACTCTTACTCATCATATGTACATAATGCTGAAAGGCCAGAAGGTTAAAAAAAAGGCGAAAACCGGCCTGCTCCTCAATCAGCCATAACTATAGTTGACTGAATGTGGTTCCAGGTATGTACCTCGCATTCCCCATCAAAATAATTGCAGGAGCAAAGACACCAAGTAGAAGAGAAGAAAAACAAACCCATTTACTGATTTACGCGGTAGTTTTGCTTGTGTGGCTTTGTCACACAATCATGATGGGTGATTGATCGGAACATCAGGTGAATGCGGGTAGTGCCGCTGCTGTCATTGTTACAATGGGTGTACTTGTTTTTGCACAGCCTTTACAGCCGCAACTCGTGCAGCAATTGCTGCTTTATTAGCTATCGCTACAGCTCGGTTCACCCTTTCTTCTACTTTGGCCACTGCATATGCTCTCTCAGCAGCTCTCTGTGCTTCCTGCTCATAAGATGGCATTCAGTAAGAAACTCATATAGTTGCGGTAACTGGTAAGTGCTTGTTCAAATCAAATAATTAAGGTTTTGCATTCAGTCTTCACGTAAATCAACACCGAGTATTTCTATTGCAGAACTGTCATTTTAGAGGAAAAGCTCAGGTAGTGTAAGGTCAAGAGAAAAACGGCGGTCTAACTCTAAGGACTGATGAAATCTGTAGTAGGCGTTGGAATAATTCATCTATGCACAAACTTCCAACAAACTACGACAAAAATGCTATCATGGTTGATGTCAAAAAATAAAAGAATTATTTCCAGTTTTTCAGTACGATATTTACCTAAAATCAAATGTCTGTAAACTTGAATTGATAATCAAGTCAACAACATACAATACAAAACACAGTTAAGCAAATCAAAACGACTATTTACCTACTAAATATTTATGGTTGTAGACCAACACATTTACAGTAGAATTTGTTCCAATGAAATACTGATACCACAAGGACTATAAAAGACAATTACCTGGACTGCATTAAGCACTTTGGCATGGTTGGCAGAATAAGAAGATCCAGGTTGGGTATTTTGCGCACTGGGAATATCTAGGACCCCGTTTTGCCAGTGACCAGATTGTGTTTCCCCATTCCTGAAAGTGTACATGCCAAGTCCCTGCTTTCTACCTTCATGCCAGGCTCCTTCATATCGATGGCCATTCCCAAACTGATAAACTCCAAAACCGTGCATCTTGTCCGCAAAATATTCCCCAGCATATGTGTCACCATTTCTGCGTTATCATATATACCAAATCAGCCCTGTGCTTGCGAATTTAACTTTCACTAGCATATCAGAGGAACAAGTATTCTTAACATGTGTGAGACAAACACAGATGCAAGCGCCCACACACATGTATATGAAATTGAAAGGAGTGAAACTAGATCAGTTTTCCTTTCGAATTTAACCAAGTATAAGAACAGTAGTCAAAATCCAAAGTGTCTTGTTTATATTAAAATATAAAATAAATATTAGATTACTGAGACCCTGTAGATAATGTGCCGGAGAATGAAATAGCAAAAAAAGTATGAGATAGTTCCAAACACCATGATGCTGACCATTTAATCTATGTATTCTAATATGATGCTAGCCAATACCCACATTTGAACCCTAATAACCTGCACCCTTGATTGTTTTGGTAATTATGCAAAAGAACAACGAAAAATCCAACTGAAGGCCCGACTGACTTCACACGGAGCATCTATAAACTCATGAATGTAAAAACAAATACTTAACTACAGAGACAAAAATCAACAAGTCACTAAACTTGGTGCAAAATGTATAACAATTCCATTAAGCACATGATACCTTAAAGGCTCAAACCTTATTTAGACCTAGCTAGCCCAAAAATTGCATACCAGATGACAAGACCACATAATTGACTTAATATCTTAACAACCTAGTAACTGAGAGAGGTACAAAAACATTTCAAATCGGTCATCCTAGTACTGTGTAACTAAAACCCTACCATACCACATAGAACAACAAGGCAACTAGATGAATCAGTGTTCAATTCCAAACATCAATATCATAGACAAGAACATGGAAATCGAAACACATATCCATTCACTTCATATATGTTAAGGAAGACAGTAAGCTTTTACCTGAATTGATAATGACCAAGTCCATGTTTGACACCCCACTTAAACTCCCCAACATACCGACTTCCATCCTCGCAAGTATGTATGCCACACCCATGACACTGCCCATTAGACCACTCTCCGGCATAAACATCACCGGTGAAGAACCTATACACCCCAATTCCATGCCTCAAGCCGTGCCTATACTGCCCGCGATACCTGCTACCTCTGGCCCAAGTCTCCACACCATAACCATCATACTTCTCATCCACCCAATCACCTTCATACCTCCCACTCATATGATAGTAATAAACCCCACTTCCTGAACATTTTCCTTTATCAAATTCACCCTCATAAACATCCTTATTACTATACACCTGCACCCAAGACCCCGAATTCGGCTTTTTGTCCAACTTTGGCTTCGATCCAATTGACCAAAGAACAGGCTGAGCGGGCTTAGAGACGCAGGAAGACGAACAAAGCTTGATTGGCAAAGAGCGGGAAAGAAACAACCGAGTCGAAACAAAACGGGGAAGTGCAATGTTGAGAGAAATCAAAAGGGCCGCCGAGAAAGCGATCACAGAGAGGAAATCGAGAGCGAAAGAGCGGCGGGAACTGGTGATGAAGTAAAGGGAAGGCAAAAAGAAGAGGACAATCAAGCGGCAGTGGACTCTGAGCAAATGGGCACAGCGGAAATGGCGGAAAAGCTTCAGAACCAGTGATCGGGTGGCGAAGGGAATGATTGCAAGTGAAGCAGAATACAGAAACGAAGAAGAAGGGCCGGAATTGAAAGCAGTGTGGCTATGGCGGTGGAAGTGAATCGGGTGGTGGTGGAGAGAGGAGAGTGTGGGAGAGTGGGATAAAGTGGAAGGTGTGTGGTTCATTGCAGGATTGTAAGAGATGGGTTCCTCATGGAATTTGAATTGGGTGTGAATTTGGTGGGATTGTGCTGCTTGGCTTGGTGATTTCCAGGTCTGGGTTGCTTGGAAATGATCAAGTTGGTGGTTTGGTTTGGTGATAACATGTAGAACTAATTGGGTATTTGAACAATTAACATTTGGGTTTGAATTTAAAAGTGCTTTTGAAATTGATGAGGAATTGATTCCTCTCAGATTCTGCTTTTCTGCCTTCCTTTCCTCTTCCGATCTGAGTTGAATTGCATTTACAGTCACATATTTTCTTCTTCCTCTCTCTCTCTCTCTCTCTCTCTCTCTCTCTCTCTCTCTAGCTTTCTCTCTCTTCTGTGACTTTCTGGGTTTCTGAGATCAGAGCAAATGGAAGATATCTGTGTGATGTGTTGCTGTTTCTTGTTGCATTTGCTCTGGTTTTCATGTCTGGTTTATCTGCAGAAGCCAGAACTGACCTGGGGTGGTCTTTCCTCTTCTCTACAAAGCCCCTGGACTTCAGGATATTTTCTGAAATACCACCGCTCTTTCTTGTATTTGAAGGAAGCGAAACAAGTGGCAAGGCCCGAGTGGATAATTGCTGACTGTTTTGTTTGTTGTTTTTTTTTTTTTTTATGATACATTGATATTTCTGCACAGGAAGAGTTCGGATATCATCAGATGGTACTGCGGAGTGGCGATTGACGTTTGCGGTTTTCCGTCTTGCCGTCTGTTAACTTTGACAATCGTAACGTTTGATTGGTGCTGATTAATTAGTTATTTAATTTGAAATTGATGTTTTGCAAAACTAAATAATTTTCTAGTCTTTTACAACGTCACTGCATTGCTGTACTAAACTACATTATTGATGACTGGTTTTTATGATAAGAAAAAAAATTGTTGGGACCAATTAATTAAATGAGAATTTTAACGAAAAATTTATGATATTGTTCACTTTAATGAAAAATCATATTTTTACATAAAAGTCAATTATGGTACTATTCACTTTACCCTTTATTTTGTCCTTATCGTTAAAACTCAAAGTTTTCAAACATTTTTACACTAAAAAATCAATCATGGTGCTATTCACTTTACCCTTTATTTTGTTCTTATCTTTAAAACTCAAAGTTTTCAAATATTTTTCATTAGTTTTCCTTTAATGTTAAATTAAACTAATGATATTTTCTTTCGAATGTTGAAGGAAGTGAAACGTTTGAATTTACCTTAGCCGGTTGATGGAAAACTAATTAAGCACTACATTTAGAAAGAAAAAAATATATACATTTGTAAGAAGTGTACAATGAGATTTTTGACCGCAATAATAATTTCCAACAAATAAGAAGAAAAAAAACATTTTAATTTGTGCCCGCATACTCTTTACAAAATCTCGCTTTACACGTACACTCTATTTTATCTCACTTTATCACATGTACTCTTCTTTTGTATTCCAATTTACCCCTTTTCTTCATCTAAGTTGAGTGAAGTGTTAATTTTGCTAATGTGGCATTGCGATTTTCAATAGTGAATATAAACATTTGTTTAAACAAATTGCAAGTTTTTATAACGTTATGGGGAAAATGATTCACTTAAGGTCAGGAAGAAGGGATCTCATTGTTTCAAAAAGTGAGGATAATTGCAGAGTTCACATCCCATCAAATTTTAACGATCTGAATAATCTATTTTTCAAGTATCCATTCATAGATTATTCTTGCAAAAAATCAATTTCAATCCAAGGGTGCATAAATCCTTGAAATTCCGTGAAGAGTGCAAATGAAGAAAAAAGATTTCTGTGGATTTAGTGCCATGATGCATGATTGTGAGAATCCTTCATTTGCACCCTCTATAGAATTTCACGAAATTTCACGTAATTTAATCGTGACCGTCCAAATAGAAGGGGAGAGAAAAAAGAAGAGAGAATCCTACTCCAAAAAAACGAGTGCAAATGAAAAAGAAAAGAGTGCAGAAATCACTTCCCGACTAATAGACAAAAGAGGGCTCCCAACCTTCCAATTCAGAATCCATGCAGCATAGATGTCCCCTTGCAAATTGCACACCAAAAATATATACCAACATCTCATACAAGTGCGTATGTAATACGACTCAAAAGCAGAATAACACATCCAGTGCGTACAAAAAATATCCGAATGTAGAGGGTATAAAATTAGGGATGTGCTATCCACACATCCCAGTTTTACATCTCACACACCCCTTGATAATTTATGTCTATTGATCTTCTTCAATTCATCCGATCCGACGGCCAAAAATTAAAAAGGTGTGTAAGAAGTAAAATGGGATGTGTGGATATCACACCCCTAAAATTATATGATGCTATATTCCAACAATTAAGTGCGCATATAATCCTACTGCTGCTCTATTAGACAAGAATATTAAGAGACTACACGATACAATTCTCAAGACACAAGAAAATTGTAGAGATGAACTAGCTATTCTCAGAGCGCCAATAATCCCGCTTTAGCTAATAAGAAAACGAAGAAAACAAGTCCGGCAGAAGCCACTACAACGTAATTATTGATAATAAAGCCAAACGGACAAGTCCGCCCGCTCTCGAGAACATTACTGACAGAGGGGAGTAAGTCTCACATGAAAGCCCTGGCTGAAGCTTGAAATTTCAGCATCATGGCTTGTGAAGCTTGAATCCGAACACTCTAGGAACATAACTCTGTGACGCTTTCTGTGGCTTCAGGTGCCCGTATGTCATCATGAACAGGTGCGGAAATGTGCTTCCGAAATAGGCTCCATCAATGTCTAGATAGAGTTAAGTAACTCAGAAATTAATGCAAGCATAACTAGTGAGCATTGTGTCCGACCATCAAAATGAGCCACGGCCCTCAATGATGTTATAGATCACAAAGCAAAAGGCAGGATACTGATAAAGGTAAGTACGAAAGTATGCAGTAAATTCATATTTTTTAACAAAATTCAAGAATAAACAGAAGATATCAGTACGAAACTAACAATGTTCCCAGATGACAAAATGAAGTTGCTTAAATTAATCGATGCTTAACTATGCACAAAGGAAGCAGCCTAAGACCTCCCCACTGCACAACATGTAATCCTCTCCAAACAGACACCCATAACGCCTACTGATGCAAGTGAGTTAGAAGACGAAAAAAACTTACTGTATGATACCTCTCAGGACAAAACCTACAAATTGAATTTAAATTAAAGAAACCCCCAGCTCAACCTGGACAAGAGATTAATGCTTACGGGACATATAGATACCAACCAGCAAAGGAACAAAAAAAAAAAAATATAAGGCAAGGCATGAAAGAAAATTCTGTGAGCAGCATCTTAACAAACCAGCTGGTTATATGCAGCCAGCAATTGTAAATATAGGTTCAATGATATAAAGGATACTACCTTGATACTTTGATCGAGGGTAGTAAATATCTTCACACTTGGGGCAGTATATTTTTACAGTGCTGGACCGTGGGATATCTGACTGGCCAATTGGGAGGCAGGGTTGTCCACTGCAGAAAACTCTCGGGCATCTCCCAAAATCATAGTTCTTGTACTTGTCTAGCTGTAGATCCAATAACCCAATTCTAAATTTCCAAATTTTACAGTCAATAAGCAATGAAACTGTCAAACAGACAATCAAGAAAAGAAACTTGCCATGGCAGCCATGCCCTTGCTTGTCAATATATATCGAACATGAATGAGACCATAAAGCATCTCTGCCGCTGATTCAATCAATTCATTTTGTTCTTCTGTGAACATATCACCTGCCAAAAGTATATATCAAAATTGGCAAACAATCTTATGGGTGATCAAGGAGCACAAATATTGTCATATATTCTAAAACTGGGTTGTCTACTTGTATCCAAAATATTTCTCTCTACATTCTTTTCTCGAAAATAACAAATGGAATCTTACCTCTTCTATTAGTATTCTTTCCAGCCTTTAAAAAGTAAGAATTATAAATCTCAGTGGCCACTGGCAACCAGAAACATTACCACTGACCACAGAAACACCACGGTTAGCACATGAGGGAGAGAGGGCTAGTGGGACAGGGCAGGAAAGAGGGCAAGAGGCTTCTTCTTTTCATTTTCAATTTTTGTTTTCTAATTTTTTTCAAGAGGGTAAAATTAAGTTGGAACTTTTTTTAAATAAGGGCTTTTAAGAGTACCTTATTGGGTCTTAAAAAAATCGTACTTTATTATTAAGCTGGGGAAAGAAAAAATTTCACGAAAGCAGACATCAATATTCTGAAGTAATCGGAAAGAGTTCTAGCAAAAAATACAGTTTAATCATATAGCTGAATTGAAGAATACACATGGGCCAATGCATAACAAACTTATTTTTATTTTATAAGAAACATAATATCTAATATAATGTCATTAACACCATAGTTGTCATCAAACGAGACAATAAACCAAAACATATACTTACCGTGAGAAGATTCAACATCCAGAATTAAATCAAGTGCATAATCATAGTACGGCACTTGGCTGCATAGCCCGCAGAGGTTAAAATCATCTTGTATGTAATCATCATCGACTTCGCAGAAAAATTCATTTCCTCTCAAATTGCAAAACCATGAGATCCAAGATGTGTCATCCCCTTCGGAACCACTAACATCCGACTCTTCACTGTCTGTCTCAGATTCCTCTACAGCCAATTCAAATACATTCCAATCAGTAAATTTACAGAACTGGTAGCTTCTATCTATCAATATACCTTCTAGTTATAAATCAAATTTTACTAGAGTTCCACAAATCACATACGTCAATGATTTTAATGATGAAAACTATTGTTATGGTTTATCAACATTGCTCCTTATACAAAAGGGACACATCCAGACTACAATAACAAAGATGTCTTCATGTTGAGACGACAATATTAACTCTAGATCAACACGAATAGATGTTCAATATCACAAAATGTGAGTGAACATCTAACTGTTTAGTATTACTCCCTACAAAAACCTAATTCTACTACAATGACCGACTCTTGCCAAAGTTCAAACAAATATCCCAAATGCCCAGTAGCCTCTGGATTCGGGGCCTGGTGGTGGTTTAAAGGACTGTAAAATCATGTGAGGGAAGGGATGGGACAGCAGACTGAATAACCATCTAAATGGGCCTCAAAATTACAGCTTTTCTTCTATTGATAAGCTTGCTAAAGAAATAAGACAATGGTATTTAATTTGGGGCGGACTTCTACAGCAAAGGACATACTTTAGTTTTAGCTCTATATAACAAAGTTTGATTCAAATACCACTAACAAGCTTCAATGGGTAAAAACAGAATGCTTATCCGTAATACGCATTGTCAAGTGCTATAATAGAATTCCTAAATGGATATCCATCGTATAAAAACAAGTATATGCACACACCCGATTGTATAAAAACAAGTATATGCACACACCCGATCGAATAAAAACAAGTATATGCGTATGAAGCATGGATACAGATAAGGTGACACGATACGCCAAGACATGGTGATAGTAAAATTTCTACAAACTAGGTTACAATATGTCATGGATACGACAATAAAATATATAATTTAAAACACATTTTAACATAAATACATCCAAATTCAAGTTCATCTTTGAACTAAATCTTTGTTTCCTATTAGTTTTCTCCTCTTAAAATCTCATCTGAAAGTGTAATGCTATCCTAAATGCCGAATACTTGTATCTGGAAGTATCCGACGCATAATACACGACCAAACTGAAGTATACGTGCTTCATATTATGCACACACCCAATTGATATTATGGAAGTAAAAATTTTATCTTTCAACCCAGATGCAGTTCATTTCTTCGAGGTTTATCAAAAGGTAAATCTATGATATACCATGTTTCTTCTTCTTCCAAACTAGGCTTAAACTTAATGCAACAAAGCAAAACATAGACCTTTAACCTAATAATGATGCTAGGCAGACAATCGATCTATAATCTCCTCTTTCAAGAGAAACCCACAAAAAAATTAAAAAGATGAAAAATTAGTAAACAAAAGGTACCAAATGCGACTAAAATCGAATTAACACGACTATGAAAAGAAGGAAAGAAAGAAAATTTCAGACCATCGGAGCAATTGGTTTTGGTGAGAGAGGCAGAACGAGAGTCTTTGTGATCGGAGGGAGGCTGCTTCCCACCCATGATAAGCGGCTTGTCCTTGCCGTTGATTGCCCTAGAAGTGGAGGGCGAGGATCGCTCAAGCTGCTTGTCCAAGGCGTCGTTGATCCGCTGCTTCCGATCAACGGCGGGCCCCAACACCTCCGCCGTCTTAGACCCAACCACCCCGCGCTCTCTGTACATCTCTTCTTCTTCTTCTTCTTCGATGCCCAAAATTAATCACCCAAACATGGTAATTTCGATTTTACCCTAAAAAAAATGAAAAATAAATAAAAATTGAAATTTGAAAAGAGAAAAAACCTAGGGCTGTGGAAGTAGGGTTTTCGGTTTGGATTGCTAACTCATGTCGCCTGGAATTCGTTCGTTCGGGCTTGGGTTAGCTAACCCAGCTTCAGCTTTGAGAGGGAGAGATAGAGTATTAGTGCGAAATCAGAGTGAGGTGAGAGAAGCTTATATTTATTACGGAGGAGGGTATTATGGTAATTTAGTTGGAGATGGATGGGAGAACGATATGGAGGGAGATCTAGAGTGTGGGTCGTTTAGATTCTGTAGAGAGGAGGGGAGGATATGACCACCACGTGTCGGGTGATCGGGGAATGTTGGGTGGATCGTCATGTGGGACCCCAATCGGGCGGGAGCCAATCGGAGTGGAGCTGTCGCCAGATATAGTTTTCGCTGTTTATGGTTTTTAACTTTAAAATAATTAAATTAATAATTTGAGTGAGACTAATGAGTGAAGAGAATGCGATATTTTTCAGTGTGATTGGTACACGAAATGATACATTACGTGTCATTATACAAATGTTAGAATATGTGTGCTAAAAAATTAATAACGTAAAAAATAAAATTTCTCACCACATACCACTTATCTTCTCGTCACAACTAAAAATTTCACGAAAAAAAAAACTAAAATTATGAATGGGACTTGCAATAAATTCGACATTCTCCTTCTTCTCTGGTGGCAGGGGAAGGGTAGGGGTGGGGTCCACGATGGAGCGTGGTATTTGTCAAGTGCAGAATAAGTGGGTTGTTCAGAAAACGCTCCGAGTTTTAGGCAAAACGTGAACTCGGAATACAAGTTAACCACCTACAATCTATAGATGACCGGACCGCTAAGCTAAAAAGTCCTTTATCATGTAAGTACGCAACCGTCTTTATCCGCCTCGGCCAATCTTAACGATAGACGGTAGAGATTATTGAGATAAGCACAATAATTATGAGTGAAATACAAACAAAAATGTATTGAAGTGTGCATTATATAATCACGGGAAAAGTGAAATAACTATGCAAATATATTGCACTGGTAACATGAAATGGAAAGGTACACCGTGCACTGATGATATTTATAGGATAGGACATGTTTCTGTTCATGTAAGCTAATGATAGCTGCTAGCTCACATTAATAATTGCAGTAATGAGACAACGGTCAGAGTGTAAAGCTAATGAAAGTTGTTAGGTCGGACACACTTAAACCAATCATAATTGTTCGGCAATTTCTAACCGTGATCCACGTAAACAATTAAAGATCTCTCGTACACGCATCGAACTAATTATACATTTTTTAAATATGTCTATATATAAAGTTAATGGAAACAGTGAATGGTGATTTTGGTGTCACCAAGTTTTAACAAAAATATTTGGATAAAAATGCTTCCAAGACAAAAAAATTTCAAAAGCATCCTAAAATAATGCATCAAATAAGGCAGGAGCATTTTCCTCATTTTAATAGTATTTTTTTAATAATTAATTTTTTTTTGTGGTTTTTTTGTTTTTTGTTTTTAATTAGTACCCGACAATAGGTTAGTAATAATATAATTCAATTTCTTTATTTTTAATTACGTTCAAAACATCTCAAGAGGCGTGTAATGCCGGTTATAAAAAAGGTCATTCGCAAGGGGATAATAATGTGATTAAATTAGTTGTCAAATGATTTTTTTTTAAAACAAACAATATTATCTACATTAAGGGGGAGGTAGGTGGGTTATTGAACAGTAACAGACTCAATGAATAGTAATAGGCCAAAGCATCTCCATCCCAAAAAAAAATGTGCTGGCACCTAGTCTAAAAATGCGCTGGCACAAACGATCTCCACCCCTACAAAATGTGCTGGCACCCAGTCCATTTAAAATATTAAATAATTTTTTTATAAAATAATAAAAAAAAATAGTTTTAATTTCGGATAGGATTTTTAACCAATCTCGTCACGCCACGTGTCATTATCCGAACGTACTATTTTTTGAATAGATTTCCGCTAAGATTTTCAACCAATCCCGACAACCCACGTGTCACTTCCTATAGAAAAAAAAAATTAATTTTTTAAAATTTTTCTGTATTTTTTTAAAAATTTTTGACATTTTTTAATTAATTTTTAATAAATTTTAATGTTGTAATTAATCGGGACCGTTGGATTTGAAAAATAATCAAATCCAACAGCCAACACGATGCCACGTGGCCAACGGTCAAATTTCTGACCGTTGGGCCTTTTGCTTCACATGAGCTAACAATAATGTGATTCAATCAATTGTTTATTAAATATTATTTTCTTTATTCTTATGTAAATTATATAGAGACCGATTTTATTATATGAATTCAACTGCTTTAATTGGTTTATGAGGGGTTTCTTCTAACATGATCTAGGACTATTCATTTACTTCAATTACTTGACTTTCCTTTTGTCAATTTATGCATATAAATACATTTAAAACATATAAATCGCGCATAGCACGTCATGATCCAAAAAATATCTTCTGCACATGCATGAGCTTGTGCATGAAGGCTAATTTTTCTTAACACTACCGAATCGCCTATAAGTTCAAGTTCCTTGTAGGGAAAAAAAAAAAAAAAAAAAAAAAAACCTCGAACTCCCCATAACTTACGGACTTGATACAAAAGTACAGGTTTTGCTGCACATGTCCCATTAAAACACGTCACTTTACTTTTAAACTGTGTGTATATGCATCACTATGCATCTCCATGGAACGGTTACACCGCCAGCCTGGCATCCTGAACCAATAATCAAGTGCAAAAAAGACTTACGCAAGGCATCATATTATTAACATGGGAAGCTACGACAACGTTGTACCTATGCCCTGTACGGTGTTCTCTATAAATGAAATTATGGTGCATGCACTTGGTAAAAATCACATGGTAAGGACAGGACAGGAAAATACCAATCCACAATCCATGTGGTCTTATCGGCAAATACTGTGGTAGAATAATACCAAGGATAAACTTTGAGAACATATTTGAGCTTTGTAGTACGTTTCCATCGGCATAATCTAAATCAGTCGAGACTAACCTTTCAAGTACTCTGAAGATGTTTAAGTTTGAAAAGCCGGCAAACAACTAAAACAAAGTGCTGGTGACACACATAATGTACAGTGACGGAGAAACTAGGCGTATACTTACAACTGGATTTCTAGGTAACCGAACTCTCAAGGACACTGAGAGTATTGCTTTCAGTTAGAGCAGACAGGAAAACAATGGATGCACTTTGATTCCTTTTAATCCTCGGCAAAGTACTTCTCCTCAGCATCATGGTTGGCTTCCCTCTGCCAGTGATCATCCAGTGTTTCGTCATTGTCAATTTGTGTGTAATCTAAGTACTCGGAATCTTCTCCCAACAAAAACTTTTGCTGCATGATGTGGGTGAACTGGTCCATCTGATCTTCCAACTCTGCCGCAGATAAAGTTTCTTTCTCACTGTGCCCTCCTGTGGTGGTTTGAGTACCGTTGGGCCCATCCGACTGACCTGCAGTTTGAGCACCATTGGGCACATCTCGATTATCCATAGTTTGAGCACCGTTGGGTGCAACTGGATGATCGATAAGCATCTATAAGTAACAAGGCAAATCTGAAAACATTAGAACAACCTGCATGATTTGTAACAACTAATAGAGTCAACTAGACAACTAAATCATTCGTAATATTTGAATTATACAACAACCAAAGACCAAGCATGAAGAAAGCACGTTCACCGACTTGATTGAAGATTATTACAATCTTTAGGGGCTGTTTGATAACCATTCATGATTAGTTTTTCATTTTTCAGCCTTTGTGCTATAGACATCGGAAAAGTACTAGGGAGAAAAGAGGAATGAAGAAGGGTGAAGGAAGGATAGTGGAAGAAATGTGTATGAATTGATGCACAAAATAAATAATAAAACCCAAAAAGTGAAAATAACATTAAGTGGGTTTCTCTTGCAAGATTTTGCTTTCATATAATCTCCTTCATTTCTCCCTCCTTCCTCCCACCACCTCCCTTCACCCTTCTCCATTCTGCATTCCTCCCATATAGTTTCCCTGTATCTCTAGGGAAAAAAATGAAAACTAAAACTGAAAACAAAATGGTTGTTAAACGGGGCCTTAACGTTTCATCAGTAGAGCAGAGTGTCACAACACTCACAACTACGTTACCACCTCTTCTCATTTGTAAGAATTATTATAAAACCGACTCAAATGCAACAAATAAGAAAATCAAGGTATTATGCTATCTATACGCAGCATAATACAATAGTTAAGAGAAGAACGGCAGGGCAAGAGGGGTCTAAAATCTGAAGTCATAGCTAGGATTTTATTATAACCCACTTAAAAAGGAAAATAAATAAATAGACAGGTTTTATGCATGCAATTTTGGTCATTACATATCTCATAGAACAATACTCCAAAATTCAACAGAGAATACAGAAAATCACCATATTGTTTTCATTTTTTATCATGTGGTAGTCAGCACAAATATTAAATATATAAATATATAGATAAACAAACAAGACTTATCAATTTTGCAAGTATAACTTTGTAATTGTTTACTAAGTTACCTCGGTAGATTGTGCGCCTCTGTCAGCCCTCACAGCTTCCTCTTTGTCTTCATCCTCTTCCTCTTCTTCTTCTTCTCTCCTCCTCCTCCTCCTCCTCTTGCTCTTCTTGCTGGTTTCTATCACCACCACCAACCCAATCACTTTCAGGAACACCCAACCTCTGCTGCTCCCCTCTAATCTTTGAAATCAAAACTGCTTCCTCTGCCCTCCTCAACAACGTGTCCGACCACCTTTCTCCGGGTCTGGCCATGGTCCTTCCAATGGGATCCTGAAACTTCCCAACATATTCATGATGCAAGTATGGCTCTCTCTCTCTCATTGAGTCCTCTGAGAAATAATTCCCGTCAAACATCAATTTGTTCAGGTATGCTCGCCTCCGGTTCTTGACTGTAACTGACCTTGACTTCAATTCATCTGATGTTGGACTCATTAAGCTTTTAAGATGCTTCACATGCCAATTGATTTCATAATCATCTTGGAGCGCATCAAACTCTCGGAGCTCATCAAAGGTCAATTTTGAACCATAACGTTCTGGACAAATAAAATAAACAATCAAGAAAAAGGGTATTGGAAAAATGGGAATTAAAATTAACTCAAACCATCAGCTTCCCATAAAAATTTTGATAAAAAAAGAAGACATTGTTCTGTAATTCAGTCTAATTTCGGAAGTTCGAACCAGTTTGCCCCTGCTAAAGTGAGATTCCCAAACAAAGAAACATACAAACATGCAGCTAAGAATTCATTCTCTAATCTCAATTCTCTCAGCATCCAAAACGAATGAATATTATCAAAAATAGAAATTAAAAAAAATAATTATCCTTAAATTCTTGATTTCAAACGCGTAGCTGAGCTAAAAGCCTATCACCACTACACTAATTTATCAGCTTTACCACAATTTGTTCTTCCCTCCCCTCAATTTTCTCAGAAACCAAAGGAACAATTTTCTTTTTCTTTTTTCCCAGTAACCAAGCAGAAAGTTAGGGGCTGTGAGCCTGTGAAGAAGTACTGTAAAAACCTAATTAAAAGACATTGGATATCAGCATACCAAACACAGACATGTGAGAGATATAGATAAGGGTACCTAGGAAAACGGCGACGTCCCTCGAAAGGAGGTCGAGGAGTATAGCCTTGCGTTCAGAGGGATTGAGGGCGTTGGATTGTAGGGCACGAGGGAAGTAGAGATCCTCCAACGACGATAGCCTCTCCGATATGCTCTCCATCGCTTCGCCTCTCACTGCCTTTCCCTCCATCCCTGCTGAGTCTGCTCTGCTTCCTCTCCCAGTCGCGAGACTCCCTGATTATTTTCTCGGTTCGACCCGACACGTGAGAGTCGCGTGGTATGGAGTTTGGCTTTCATTTTATTTTCTTCGTTCTTATAATTATTTTATTTTCGTTATTATTTAAAATAAAAAGTGAAATGGTTATCACGCATAGTCTTATTATGATACACCTCAACCCGGAATATCCATCTGAACTCCAAATCGAGTTGTGCTGGCCAACACAGGAGGGTGACGAAGTCATAAAGTGTAGTAATGTAGAAAATGTGGATAAATTTAAACCTAAAAGTCTAAATATAAGATTGCGCTCGTGAGCGGTAATGAACACATTTCACACCTGATGTCAGAGCATACGTAAAGTACAATAAAATAGGATGAGAATTATACCATTGAAGGTACCACCTATACTGAAATTTGCCAAGAATCCTCGTCAATGCAAAAGCTTAGCTACTAAAACTTGGACGGGTGAAAAAACAAGGGCGAGTGAGCCTAAAAATAAGCTTTGTAAAAACCTTTTCGAAAACTTAATAACCCCTGCCGAAAAAAATATACATGTTCAAAATATAGCAGCAGATTGCTCACGTAATAACATGTGAAAATACTTAACGGTCCTGAAAGGAGGTCGAGGAACCTCACCAGGATTTACCGGCATAGGGGAGAATCAATATTTCGAGTAAAAATAAATCTCCAACGCAGTGCTTATCATACGTAATACATCGCAATAAACTAAACAGACTCCTGCGACAGTTTGGATAAACAGCACTGTGGAAGCAACCGGTGAGCACCTTCAGTTTGGATAAACAGCACTGCTGCCGCAGAATCAGCCGACCGAGAAACACCTTCAGTTTGGATAAACAGCACTGCGTCGAGGTCGACCGATTATCTATCTAAGTCTCGGCCGAGAAGGGTTTTCGAACCTTTGTTGGTAGAGGTCATCTAACTAAGCCTTTTCGGCGTAGTTGGGTGTTACGAGTTGCATTGCTCGGCGTATTGGACGCCGAGTGAGTTTATGATTGGATACTCGCAAGTAAGTTTCAGGGTTCAGCATTCCGACGGCCGAACTACGTTTACCATCAAGACATACATCACATTCGAGTACCTGTGCCCATATAGTTTGGTCTTGATTCGGCGTGCTTATACTCTTACGAATATAATCACAGTGACCGAATCAGGGTCCGACGACCTGTGAACTCCGTAGAATTAGTAGCCTTGTCTTCAGGCTATAGAACCCAGAGACCGAGAGCGTTCCTTCCTCGGTCGCAATCGCAAGATACAGAAGTCGATAGCGCACCCAACGCGACATCACATTTTACTCCTCGGCCGAGCTCGGCCGACGAGTTGGCACGCCCCGCATTCAACCGAAGGACGTAGTTAGTTCATTAGTTACTCGGCCTGCACGCCACGTAGGTTTTGTAATTTTCGTAGTCAACAACTACGTATAGTGTGAAAATACTTACCATAGCCTGCAATATCTCAAGAATTTAATAAGTCACAATATTTTGTAAATAAATGCCTAACGTTCAGTATCATGTAATCTCGCATGAACTAACATATCATAACGAGTGTTCATTAACATATGCTGACACACAAGTTCATGCAAAGATATTCTGACATGAATAGGACCGGGTGTAATAATGATTTACGTTCTAGTACTACAATCACGTGAAGACTAGTGCTATGTGCATCACATACGAGTCCTAATTGCCTATAGCAATCTAGGACATGACTAGCACCTACAATGGATCCAAAGTGAGCATACGGTGCAATGTGAACATATATGTGAAAGATTGGCCCTAGCCGGGGCGAGTACTAGCACCAGTGCATCACATGACGAGCAGATAACGTAAATAAACATCACACTAATCTAGGCAAATTGTAGAAAACTCTTTATGAAATGTATAAACGGAAACTAACAACTATATATATACTATATAAAGAAAAGACCCACTCATAGATACTCGTGAGATCGCAAGTGCTCGAACTAGGAAGGCCGGAGTCTTCGGTGGTAATTGCACCTAAGCATAATATTGGGACCCGTTAGTAAAACTCAGCTAAAATGACTTTGGGAAAATGGAGTGCGGATTTGGAATCAGAGCATTGAGATACGCTAAGAGGGGTACTGGGCAATTTTCGTAAAAAGTCAATGAAAAGTCAATGGTCAACCCTAAAAAGTCATCCGAGACGCTTCGGTGGTCATCTATGTCAAAACTTCAGAACTTCACTAAATGGATGTCAAAAACGGACTTGGGCGTCAAATTAGCCTATGAGGGTTCTCGAGAAAATTTCGAAAAAGTTCACACAAGGAATATTCCAAGCTTAATTCAGAGATGGGTTGGGCCAAATCCCAGGTTCGAATTTGGATCCAGGTCGCAGATTTGGGCTTCCTTTTTTTTTTTTTTTTTTTTTCTCTTCTCTAGCCAGTTACAGCATTTTTCTTCTTCTTCTTATCCTGCCAGTTGATGCTGCAACTACCGGGATAAATCCCAGCTCCGACCACTCAAAATCTTCACTAACCTTAGCTTTCCAATTTATCAAATTGAAGCTTAGGGGACAAGGGATTGGAATATGCCTTTAGTTTCCTCGATCAGTGGTAAAACGACATGTAACCATGCGGACTTTGCCAGAAACTGGAAAAATAGTTTCCCCGAGATGGTTTTTACAATAACGCCACCAAAACTCACGTCTAAGGAGTCAATTATCGTTAAAATGAGGTAGGCGGAGGCAAAAACATATGGTTTAAACCTTACCTTGCTCGGCATCATCGAAACTTGCCGGTGGTTTGTTGAAGGGGAAGTGTACAGTGGTCTCTATCACTGTCAAGATTCCAGGGTTTTGGAGTGGGTTTAAGAAAATGAATGAAGTGATGATGGTGGTGCTGGTTCACAGGGAAGAGTGAACTCGGTGTTGTCGTTGAAGTCGGTGACGTGAGGTAGCACTGGTGATTGTACAAAGAGTGGAGAGAGCTAGAGTGAAAGAGAGAGGGGAAATGATAAAGAGGAGAGAGAGAGAGTCCCAGTTTATGGTGGATGAGAGGAAACATGGCAAGAAGAGAGTGGAGAGTTTATGTGGGTATGGGCCCCATGGGCCAGAAAAATTGTAAAATATTTAAAATATGCACTTAGAAAATATTAAGATAATAAAGTACCCAAAATTCAAATTTTATAAAACACCCTCAAGTTTTTTAGTTTTATAAAATATTTATTGTATCTCCAAATTCGATTCCGCTTTGCGCCTACACATTCGTAACGTTAAGTACTTCGAGGTTACGGCAACCTAAGAGCTCATACGCGTCCCGAAATGACAGTTAATGAAGGTCAACAATTTTGCCTTTAGGCACATTTTCGTCCATTCACTCTTTTAAAATTAATAAAATCGTAAAATTAGGGACGGATTGTCAAATTATAAACATATCAAACTTTTTTACAATTTTTTTTTTACAGAAAATAAAGTTATTTCCTTTCACTCAAAACTACGACTTAATCTCAAAATTTAACATAAAATGGAGCATTGGTCCTCAAATATAATTTTGTTTGCTTTATTATCTACTTTGCTTATGTAACACTTATCTACGACCAATTATCCATCATTGTTTTAGCCTAACTAAGCTAAACAATGAACTTAACCCATGATACAGTATTCACTTTTGCACCAAGGAAAAAGAATGACACTCTTTCTTTCTCGTCTCTTATCTCGTTGTCTCCACTGCATTTACGACGTCTTTATTCTTCTCAATTCTCATTCCATTGCACCTCCATTAATCTTTTTTGAATTCTAAAGTTATCTTGGTCACCAAGTAATTTTTTTTTACTTTCTTAAGAATAAGATTACGATTGAAACTAGGGATATTTTTATTTTTTTTTTGAATACATTGAAACTAGGGATTAAATTTTTAAGAATTTGTTTATCTTACTTGATTTTGACAAGCACAACAAGGAAAAGACACTTCCTCACATACCAACACCTCAATTCTGAATAATGATCACTGATCCAAATGGTCTCCTTAACAAAGTGGGGGTGTGACGACCTGTCTTCTATGTAATTTCTCCCTGAGTATGTGAATTATCATTTCTGCCCTTGTTATCAAAGTGACGTGGACGTGATTTCAGCTTTAAATTATTTTCTCACTATCGTAATTAAACTATACATGTTGTTATGAGTGTACGTTAATTTTATCAGTGTTAGAAACACTATTCAGATAGATTTTCTGATTTGCTTTTACTGTGGGAAATCTATAAAAGCCTATCCTTTTACTTCTTTAAAATTTGATTCATGCCTTATGTTTTTCACCAATTAGTTTTCTTCCCTCTTTTTGGCACCCAATCAGACTCTTCGTTTTCTCTGCCCAATCAGAACCATCACTTCTCTCTCAAACCCGTACCTCGTTCTTCTCTACAACAAAGAAGACCACCACTATCTCTTCACAGATCGAACCTAAAAACCATATATTTGGACTCCTCTCATCACCATGAACTTAACCATACCCTCAAATCACGTGTTGGTTGAGTTTTGAGTGGTCAATGCTCTGACTCGGTGGTTTTTGTGTTGACATGATCGCAGCCAAGTTATAAAGTTTCAAGACTCAGAAAACTTCTACGTAACTCCTTAAGGGTCCTAGACTAGTTTCGGTGAGTCGTTGGCGTCGAAACAAGTGAGTTCAAGAGGTTGACTTTTGGTCGGAGCTATTGAGCTATTTTCAGGCCAATCTTCGACCTGTTTTTCGACTTTCAAACGTTTCCGGCGAAAATTCAAGTTGCAGACGAAGACAGGTAACGTTGTTAATGTCCGTTACTATTTAACGAAATATTCTTTCAATTCAAACGGAATATTCCTTTGTTCCGTCAGTCACCTACAATGCACGTGCCTGTGCGTGTGGCCATGGGTTGGACGGTGCATGAGGGCGCCTCCGGCAATAAGTGGTTTTTACATGTAGGTTCGTGACTTCGAGTAGAACATTTTGGTATATTCAAACCTTCCGTTTGAGCAAGTTATGGGAAGTTTTTCCTAGTTTTTCGTATATGTGTTAGTTAAGTAATTTTTATTAGTTATTTTGCATATAAGGGAGACTTACCCTGAGGACGTACGTGGACAAGCGAGACTAGGGGGCTATGACCCTATAACATACATGTGAGTGGGCATTTTGATTTTGTATATTACATATATACCTCATAGTTTCCATAAATGTTTTTAAATGGTCTTATGCATTTATGCCATGAATTATATATTTTTCTAAATGCTATGACATGGTTGAGTTTTATATTGCATCATGGCATATCCATATGCATATTACCTGCATATAATCGATGTGAATGGTTTGAAATGCTAATGTGAAAGCGGGATGCGTAGGTAAGTCCAGGTAAGGTTATGTGATGAATTGAATGGTTGAATCATTATGTCATGCTTACATATAGTTTGCTCATCATTGCTACACCCCGGTGTTAGTGATCCTGCCTAGGGCCAGGGCTAGTCCTTCACGTGTATGTTCATCTCCCGCACCGCATGCTTGCCTTGGATCCAAGTAGGTGCTAGTCTTATCGTACAAGTCACATTAGGTGACTCCGACTCGCAGGTGACCCGAGCATAGCGCTAGTCTTCACGTGATCGTAGCACTAGAGCTATTATTATTACACCTAGTCTTGTCATACAGGTCACATTAGGTGACTTCGACTCGTGTGTTAGCATATGACTGATGAGCGATAGGTGCAATCGTACAGGTCATATTAGGTGACTTCGACTGACATGTTAGTATAGATTACAACACATAATCATATCTATACTGTTGTTGAGAATATCTGTTGTGGCATACTTCTGGACTTACATTGAGCATGCATTTGATTTTCATACTTATACATAGTATGATATTTTGGAAATTATACTTGTTTTACAGCGAGAGGTTGGTATAATTGAAGGATAAATGGATTTTATAAACCTTTATTTTTGTGCCCCCTCACTCTTCTATTTTTGCCCTTCTAAGTCCTAGTTAGCTGATTTATATCTGTGGCATACGAGGAATAGCTGGTGGATTCTAACATATCTCCATCTTAACGTAGGAACTTATCTCTAGTTGTGTAATAAGTCCCTCTCTCGTTCAACTACTTTACCCTTATGTTATCTATGCTTTGAATATTTGTAGTTATGGGTTGTAACCACTTCTGCGCACTCACTGAATTAGTTTAATTAAATTCTAATTCGGTTTTAGTTTATTCACTATTTTCTTACATCACTTGCACTTTCGGCTGCATCATCTTCACGTGACGGCCATCACGTCATTGATTCCAGTCGGGGTGTGTCAGTTTGGTATTAGAGCATAGGTTTAGGCAGTCCTGTATTCCTCGTGTGTACTATAGATCCTAATAATTTTTGTATCTCTTATGTCAAAATTATGCCACTTCGTAGAGAGTCACGTGCCCCTTCTGAGGTAAAATTTTCGGACTTTGGGCAATTTGGTGAAGCCATTACCAGGGCTATTCAGTCTGCACTTCGTCCTCCCTAGAGGAACATCTTGGAGACTGTGTCCCGCTTGAAGATAGATAATTTCTATGACAATGAAGGTTATGAGAAATTTCAGATTTGGCTCGATCATGTTGAAAATACCTTTCAAGTTATGTAGCGGCAGAGAAATCTTGCAGCGAACGCTAGGTAGAGACAGCGACTTGGTTTTTTCGTCGGGGAACGAAATTTTGGTGGGCTCAGGTGTCATGCCCATCATCTGCTGAAGATGCCATGGATTGGGATATTTTCAAGCATCTATTTCAGACTAGATTTATTCCTCCAGAGTATTTGGATTGTAAAAAGGATGAATTCTCAGAGCTAAGGCAAGGTAAGATGTCAGCCACTGAATATCACCGGAAGTTTACAAATTTATTTCGTTACTGTCTTGAGACTGCCACAAATCCTAAGGAGATGCTCCGTCTTTTTAAGAGGGGGACTCATAAACGGCTGCGTTCTATGGCGACTTCGACTCCCTGTTCTACCTATAAGGAATTCTTTGAAGTTTTGCTTCGGGTTAAGGACTCTGAGAACACTCCTGATGATGATGATGATGAGGAGGAAGGTAATAATAATGTTCAGAGGAACAATAATAGGGGGCAGTCTTCTTTTGGCCCTAGAAAGACCCATAATTTCAAGCGAAGTGGAAATAGTTCGAGATCGTCGAGCGGTGGTTCAGATTCTAATATGCTGCGGAGAGGCGGCAAGTCCACATATGGTTTCTGCTTTCAGAACTAGAGGAATCCTAGCAATTCTAATGCTTCATTATGTCACAGGTGTAATAACAATCATTTTGGTGAGTGTAAGAGAGGAAGCAGTGGATGCTAACAATTGTTTGCGAAATCAACAAAATCAGCAAAAACCTCAACCTTATACTTTACCATATGCAGTTCCTCTATAGTAGATTGCAAGACCTGGTGCTTACACGCTGACAAGTTATGGTGGTGCTTATCATTATCAGGGTGATGTAGCTCAGTATCTAGGAAGAGCATACCAGTATCCACCAAATCCTTATTATCAGGGTGGTTATCCACAGTACCAAGGTGGCTACACTCAGTATCAAGGGGGCTATACATCGTATCTGGGTGGTGGAGCACATATGTATACTAGGGCACAATACCAGAATTATGAGGGAGCTTCTAGCAGCGGCACATCGACCAAGCAGACTAATCTGCAAATCAAGGTTGAGGTACCCAGGGTCGAGGAAATCATAATCAGGGAAATAGGGGCAGAGGAAGTTGATAGCAAGCTCAGGGCTGAGTTAACTATATCACCTTGCAAGATGCGCAGAATAACCCCGACTTGATTATGGGTACGTTGAATGTTCTTGGTCATTTTGCTAGAATATTAATTGACTCTGGTGCTACACATTTAGTCATTTCCCATACATTTGCTCAAAAGACTCAACCTCATCCCACTCCCCTCGGTTTTGAGTTGGAGTTCTCGATGCCTAGGGGTGAAGTTTACTATGTTGGTTGGGAGTACCAAGGATGTCTTGTTCTTATTGAGGACTTTGTGATGCCATCCAATCTCGTTCCTTTGGATATCATTGTCTTTGATGTTATCTTGGGCATAGATTGGTTACATTATAATCGTGCCAAGTTGGATTGTTATCAAAAGGTTGTTACCTTTCATCGACTGGACATGCTTATTGTCGTGTTTGTTGGTGAACAAAGCGGTTTAAAGCATGGAGTTATCTCAGCTGTGAGGGCAAATTGGTTGAAAAAAGGTTGTAAAGGCTACTTGGCTCATGTCGTGGTCACGGAAGAGAATCCTGCTTGCGTGGAAGATGTTCGGGTAATTAGACACTTTCCTGACTTTTTTCCTAACGATTTACCTGGATTGCCATCAGGGTCGTGAAGTGGAGTTCATTATCGACTTAATTCCAGTCAGGGTGTGTCAGGGGGAGGAGCCACAATCACAAAGACTCTTTTCACCATTAAAAGAGAGACCAGAATTAGGAGATGAAAATAGTTACAAGATACAAGAAAACATGGAAGGGAGAGTGAAAACATGAGCCAAAAACAGAAGAATTTTCAACTGAACACCAATAAATTTCAAAAATTAGTTCCACACTTTATTTTTCTCCCATTCACACCCACATGAAAAAATGGAAAACATAAAGAAAACCAAAAAATTATAGGCGCATCTAAGGAGCGTCGAACAACTAACCCAAAGCCAATTGCCGACAAACTACATTACAAATACAATTATTCAACTAAATTACTATAAGAACAATTTTAGGCTTCCAAAATCGAGAGCCTTAGGTGGTCACCTCATCTAACTGTTTTCAGGTCCGATCCTAAACCTTTATGTAAATTTATCATTGTATAAAACAAAGCTATCTAAAGAAATAAATAATAATAATAAAGTTAGCTAAACAGCAAAGAAAGAAAACAAAAATGAAAATGAAAGTTAGGTTTTGAGCCTGCTAACCAGTGGACTCATAATACCCCTTTCTATCTTCACAACCAGTGTTTAAAATATCCACGAAAGTGTAGATATTTTTGTCGAATATCCGTAAAATCAATGATCGATATGGAAAGAGGATGAATGGAAACTTCACCCTATATATACGACATATAGAAAAATCAATGAATATCGACGATATTTACTGATTCACGATAAAAATGTTGCTAGAAACTCATGCATATTTCGAACTTTTGAATTAAATTTTTTTTCTTCTAATTTCGACTAAATCTGATTAAGTTGATACACCCACTGTATTACAGTTTTTTATAATCTCTATTAATTAATGAAACCCTCATTGTCAACCAAAAGAGGGTGAAAAGACAACTTAGTCTTTTATCATAAAAAAAAAAAAAAGATGAGCAATAATGTAATTTCATATGTCCAAATTTTATTTTATTTATTAAAACTTCACCTACAGGTGATATTAAAATATTTCTAATATTTAAAATTAAAAAAAAAAACCTCCTACTTCCTTCGTGTTCTCTCCCTCTCTCTCTCTCCCTCCCTCCCTCTCATTTTTTAAAAAAAATGTGTTCATACACACAAAATATGTAGGCAAATGCTAGTTTCTAATGAAGCCAACTAATATCGATATATCAATCAATTTTTCATAAATTTGAATATTAATATTTTCAACTATATTCATATTTTCTTTGGTAAAAAAAAAAAAAAAACACTATATTCATATTTTAAATACCGGTCCAACTCAAAACCGAGTCACCTTTCACACGAACTCAGTCTCCCACATTCGATTTCCGGCTCCAAACCACGCACCCCACATACACATACACATACACATACACATACACTATATACATACACAGACACAGAAATCATTGAAACGAAAATTCTAAGCAAAACCCACGAAGATTTTGTCCTCGATCCTCTTTCGATGGATTTTTCAGAACAGCACAAAAATATCTTCGGCCCAGACTACGATGACGACGATGATGGTAATAAACAAGATGGGGCCCACTCATCCTCACCGTCTTCGTCATCGTCGGCTTCGACGTCGTCGTCGGCTTCGTCATCGTCGGCTTCTTCTTCATCCAACGAAGGAGGGGAGTCAAGCAGTGGGAATAGCCCGAGCGCAAGCAGTGGCGGTGGCGCCGGCGGTGGAGGTGAAGAAGAAGTAGAGAATGGCGAAGAGGCTGATTATTCAAACGCTGCCGAGGACGACAATGAGTACAGCAATATGGGTTACTTTGGGGAGGAAGACAGGGATCTGTTTGGCTCTGACAATGAAGATTACTGTAAAACCCCTGCTACTAGTCCTTTCCCTATTCCTGGTAATTACCTTTTTCGTGGCGGTGTAGTATTTTTTTGGTGATTTGGTTACTTCTTTTGTTGTGTTAAAAAATGGGTACTCAAAATTTTGGTGATTTGGCTGCTTAAGGTTAAATTCATGATATTTGTAGCTTTGTCCAAGTGAATTTCTATGATGGGTATCTTGCATTTTTCTGATTTGGTTGCTTATTAAGTTGTATTGATGGATTTTCTGGCTTACCCAATTGGCCTTCTTTGATTGGTGTTTTACATGTTTGTTTCCCACCCACTCTTCTTTTCCAGGTTTCATTTTTTCTGTAATTTGTTCTAGTACTTTTATTTTTGGTTTTGTGAATGTAATTTTGTTTCATCCAGCGTTTCTTCACTTTGCAGTGTTGCATATACTGGGAGGGGTTAATGTTTAGATACTTGTAGGTTGAACTTGTAGTTGTTACCATATCTATATTCTTTAGCTTAAAAGGTACGAGCTTTTGATGTATCAGCTAAAATGCTTAGTTTGCTACTCTCTTTGGACTGTTGGTATGTTGAACCCCCGTACTCATCAAACTTTTCTTGGCAGTATTGCCTGTCATACGCAGGTACGAATAATCAGGGTAGAGGGAATCCAGGGCGTGGTCGTTGGCAATCTGGACGTCCAAATGATAGAGGCGCAGGCATCCTTGGTCGAGGCGGACCTTTTCAACAGAGGCAAAATTTCGGATATGGTGGCTCTAATGGTTATCGTGATGAACGTTTTATCTCGGAATTAAAACTACTTTCAAAGAGTGAAGAAACACTGTCAAGAAAGGCCGTTGCATTTCAGGAAGTAAGGCTAGTAATCATTTGTTTCGATGCTATTTTTCTTTCTCTTTTTTATATTCAAGTGCTTTTAAGGTTGATTTATCAAGGGTGCACGGAAAAGCATCACAAAATATAGATCTTATATTTTTACTATAAGTAACAGTCCAAATTTTGGACTTCTAGTTTACTCCCTTTGTGTAAAATAATTTATTTATCGTGTTGCATTTCCTTTTGGTTCAACTGATGTGAGCAGCTTAATCATATATAGCCGTGTCAGTTTGGTAAATTTACTTATTGATGTTCATAAGTTGTCCTTGTCAATTGGCTGGTGCATTCTGTGTACATTGGTTGTTTTTTCTCTATGCTAATTTAATAATTTTCTCCAATAGCCCTGTGAGCTTGCTTGCTATAGTCGGGTAGAAGGTGGAGATGTCAGCTTTGACGATACCAGCTTGGTAAGCATACTGTAGCTTGCTTTCTGAATGGTCCATTGACTCCATTCTTTTGTTAGATTTCTCTTGTATACGTAGGGACGCTGATCACTAGCTAATTCATGTCGTTCTGTTATCCACACTAGAGGCTTTTCAAGCGTCTGATTACTGAAGAAATTGGAAGAGATCTTAATGAAGGTTATGATACTTTTATTGCGAAGAAAGGTATGCCTTGTGTCTAAATTATTTTTTGGGATTATAAGATGTGAATTGGAGTTAGTTTATTTTGTTTCTTTTTGGTTTTGCATATGAGGGCTGATCTTTGTTGGCAAATTTATATGCTTTTTTTATTGTGTAAACCAGATTTGGGCTCTCAAGGTTTTGGTGATCTTCTCGCCTGCATAAGAGACAAGAATATTCCTCTTCAAAACATTCATTTTGTGGTGCGAAGCGTATTACACTTGTACTTTTCTTATTATAATTTTCTCATATGGGTTATTAACTACTAATTTGCTTGACATGTTTTTCTCTTTGACAGACTTATCGCAACAATCTAAATAAGGTATCTCCTAGCCCCTTTGCTTATTTTGTTCTGAAGATCATTTTCTTAATTAGTTTGAGTGGATACCACTGATGAACAGTGGGTTTGTTATCATACTGTGTGTAGAGGTGTGGTAATTTTGGATAAGAGGGAATATGTTCAAGATGTTGAATGCATAAAGCAGCTACAGGCCTCTGATGACTGCTTTTTAATGGATACTCAAGTTACTGATAATTATAATTATCTATATGCATGCTTACTAGAGACATAATGCTGTAGAGTACTTCAACTGATAGGTTATTAGTGTAATTATTTAAGCTGTGGTATTTGTTGGACTAGTTAACAGATTTTTTGTTGTATTTCATATGCTTGTCTTTTTTTCTGTAGATATTGGCCACTTTTTATAACAAAAGGGATCCTTGGGAGATGGGAGTACATAAAAGAAATGGGGTTGTCTATCTTGATGTGCATAAACTACCTGAAAGGCCACAGACTGAGTTGGATCGAAGAAGGTACTGGACTTTTATTCATTCTTTAGAAATTTGAATGGTCTTTCTAGATGATAATGACTATTTTCTTGGAGTATTTGGAATTGCTTCCCTGGTTTGTTTATTGGAGTTATTGGAATTGCTAATTGCTTTAATAAATGGAATTCTCCTGCTTAAGAAATAGATTTATGAATGAATATCAATGTTTCCAAACCTTACTTCTCAAGTTGTACCCGAAGGATGGATTAGCAGCCAACTATTTCGAGTTTTCATTATGAAAGAATGGGAATTTTGATAAGGATTCTCAAAGCTAAATGTGTTACCATTCTTTCTGTAAATCTGTAATATGGTAATGAGATGTAATATAGAGTAGATGCAGAAGTTTTCATAAGGTATATGGTTTACTTCATTGAAGTTGGGTGTAAATGCTTCCTGTCATCTAGAGATAAAATCAGAAAGCTATTGTGGGAGATATGTATGTGTGCTCTAATTAGGGTTCAAGAGGGCTAATCATGACTTACCAGCTACTTGTAACTGATGTTTTGTTCTTCATCAACCGGTTCAAGAGGACTAATCATGCCTCGATGCATTTTTCTGTTATTGCTTATTCTCAATTTTAGGCGTGCTTTATGCAATGTTATCCTTTCAACTCAGGTGTTACTGGGGGTATTGTTTTGAGAGTCTTGCCACTGAAGATCCAGGAAGAGGCGATGGACCGATACATCATGTTGATGCCAATGTTGAATACTGTTCTGTGATCAAAACAAAATTAGGGGCTCATCGTATTCTGATGGGTGCTGAAATGGATTGCTGTGATTCAACTGATGATGGAAGGAGGTTTTATGTGGAATTAAAGACAAGCCATGAGGTTGAGATCTGTTTTTCTTTACTTTCCGTTACATGCAAATTTTTTCTTCTCTGAGTTTTCTTATGTAACTGACTGTAAATTTCTCATTAAATTGTGCAGTTGGACAACCATAAGATAGAGTACGAGTTTGAGAAAGAAAAGCTCCTCAAATTTTGGGTACATTACTGTTTTATTACCTAAAAAGTAAAAACACACAGGGTCTTCAATAGCTTTTGTTAGAGATTGACATGCATAGTTGCAGAATTTAGATTGTACCTCAGTCTTGTCTAGTTTTCTCAAGGAATTGGTTGTCATTCTCTATAGTCCATTTCCTATTTATATTTCAAAGCATCTGCTTTTTTGTAAAAGAGTTAACCCGTCTTTATATTTTCATCAGGCTTCTGTAAAATCTGTAATTGTAAAAAGAGTTAACATTTCTCTTAATTTTGGTGCAGATTCAATCATTCTTAGCGGGTGTTCCCTATATCGTCATTGGATTTAGGTAACCCAAATTGCCACTTAAGCCTTTTACTTTCTTACTCGGTAGACAATTAACTTTTTACATTCATTGGTGGCTTATGTGTATTAAAAGGCGCAAAAGAATAGTAACTGATATAGTTGACACAAATAACTTTAATTTGCATAGAAACACATGAATTATATATTCCATTGTGCAGTTACTTGTTCCTGGAAGAGTTTTTTTGTGGTAGCTCTCTGATATTCTGTTCTACAAAATTATTCAATTTGTATATATTCCCTTTTTTCAGGAACGATGCAGGTCAACTTGTCCGCACAGAGAGACTAAGAACTAAAGATATAACACACAGAGTGAAAATGAAGAACTACTGGCAGGTAAATTTTGTTTTCAGTGATGTACTCTCTGATCATACAGCCACCCACCTTCCTAATCGTCACACTGAAAAAATTTGATTTAACGATCTTAGTATTTATGAAGTTTATCGCTCATGGTTGTGCTGAATAAATGCTTAATGAAACTGGTTGTCGCTTCTAATGACTTTTGTTGGCAGGGAGGAGTTTGCTTGGCATTTGCTGATGAGGTATTATGCTGGCTCTATGGGACGGTAAAAGAGAGTGAGTTCTTTAATCTTTGTCTACGTTTTCCCTTCAGCTTCATTGTTTTCCCATTCAAATAGAAAAAAGCATAAACGAGAACATGATTCTATAGTTTCTAATTGAAGAAAGAGATTGGAGGAGGAAATGTGAGAGAAGATGAAGAAAACATATATGGTTACAGAAATAAAACTGAAAGCAATTTTTAAATTGTTTCTAGGTTTAGTTCTTTCTATTCTTCTGTTTTCTTTCTCGTTTCTCTCCTCTTCCTCCACTCTTTAGTTAAAAGAAAAACAGAACTTCGAAATCAATGCATAACTTGTACTCCTGCATCTGGCACACGAAACATTACAACTTTATTTATAACGGTTAACACAGCACTACCACATGAGTCTGCTCGATATTCTATAAAACTCATTTTATTTCCAGGAATTCAGTAGCTTTTCTTTCATAGCTCAAGTAGTGAGATTCCGATTTCTCAGCAGTCAGATGGTGCGTTTGTTTAATAAATGTGCTAATTTTGCATTTGTGCCTACAGATGAAGACTACATATTGCAGTTTACTCATCCTTTCCAACGTTTGGAGCTTTTACAAGCCCAATCTTGCCCAGAAGAAATCACTAACCATGTTCAGCAGCTGTAGACGTTGAGTGACGCGCGCCATATTAAGTAGAGACTGAAATCGGGAGTGGGAGTCCTATTATTGACTGTGCATCTCCCCCGGTTGTTCTTGCTTCAAATTACTTGCGCCTCTTCGAGGCACAAAATGCAGTGTTATTCTCATGATCAACGACCCCAAAATTGCTGTTTGACAATCGCATTCCCTTTTTATGTCTGATGGCTCATATCATTGTAATGCTGCTGAGAACAACACCAATCGAGAGAATAATATGTAACCTCTTTTGCACGTTTTTCTTGCTGATTTATTACTGTAGGAACACATCAAGGTTAAGTAGGCAAAAGGACTTGCCATCTTATAGTAATTAAGTCGACACTTGAATCGACTTTGTGCTTTTCATGACTGCTCTAGACAGTGGCGCGTAAGTGCAAGAGCGAGATTATGACGAGTCTTTCGGCTGAAATGATCAGTTTTTGGCATTTGGTTTCTGAAATGATTCGTTTTTAGTATGTCATTATATCATCATTCTGTTGTTGATACATGATCTATTTGTCGTCCATATTTGATTTTGATTATTTTAAAAGTAGATCATTTTAGCTAATTACGTAATTAAAATTAATTAACATACCAAAAAACACAGCTAAATAAATCAAGCATTAATGTCTTCATAATATCCTTGTCAATCTGATTAGTGAAAAGAATAAGCTGACAAGGAAAATGAAAAAAAAGGCGAGAGATATTACTGAACTTGTTCCAAACTATCTTAAATGCATATCAATTATTAAGGAGTGGGAGAGCGAGTTAAATATCACAATGGCTAGTAGCCGTAATAATTTGGGTTGAATTTGCGAGAATCGAATATAAAACTTTTTATTCACAAGTGAATAAGAATTCTAATAGTACTAATTAAGTAGAAAAAGAGTTACACTCACAAACTTAATTAAGTTGGTTAGAACAGCGTGCTTTAAAAAAAAAATTTAAAAGTGGCTCCCTCTCCGCTGCCTTCTCTTTTGACTCGTCTCGAGGTGAACTCTATCATCCGTAACATTGTTATAATAATATTATTTCTTGAAAGAAGCAAACGATTGAAATTAATACATTTTATCCCAAGAAAATCGTAAGAGGCTTTGGCTATAGAAACATCAATCTCTTATCATAAGATGTTGTGAGTTATGGCTCTCCTCCAAACTCTAAGTCGGAAACAGGGAAGCACAAAAATGCTTGCCACTACAAGTTTTCTGACCTTCTTGTTCATTCAAGGACTACTACTACTACAACTGCTAGTAGTAACGTCGCAGTCCAGTTACATGGCGGTGGCGGTGGCGATGGCGAAGGCCACTCCTCAAGGTTTTTCCGGCCTTCCCATGAACGAATTTATAGTATCAAGAAGAGTTTACAGAAGAGCACCACCGCCGTCACCAAAATCTAATGTTCCGTTTCATTTCCTACCTCGACCGGAGCGGTCTCCGCCGCCACCGCGACCGAAATCTAGTTTTCCTGTTCAGTTCTTGCCACCACCAGAGCGATGTCTGCCGCTGCCACTACCACGGGCATAAATTCTTAAGAACTTAGCAACATTATATTTCCCCATCAGCCTGTTCATAACTTTTATTATGATTCAGCATGCAATGTCCGTTCTGCTGTATGCATGTTATGTTGTTTTCTTTTCGTTAGTTTTATGGTTTTCTATTTGCAATGGAGTGCGTACATTTCTTTTCCGGTATCATCTAGTATGCTTCGGAGTGTCCTACACACTGGTATTTTTGGCCTTTAGATCCGTGGTCAAGAATCCAATGACCAAGATCTAACAGCCGAAAATTCAGGTGTATGATCGACCGAAGCATGGTAGAATGTTTGCTCCCCTCATGAAATCAAAAGTAATAATATATGCCAATCACACAAATGAATGACTTGTCAATGTATATGATCAAGGATTGTATAAGATCTGTGCTTTCAAAGAAAACATATTTGTAAATTGCTGACGAACTGAATCTTCATTCGTTCGTTCATTCAAATCAGGTTTTCTTTTCAACTTCCTAAAAATCGTGATTGTCGCGGAAAAACTTCAACTGTCAATGCATATTACGTCTGCTGGAACTTCCAGCACTTTTAGTCAGTGCTTTGGTAATAGCATGAGTAGCGATTCCAACAGGACAGAAAAAGAGGCAAAGAGAAACTGAATGTCGCGTCTCAATTTCATTGTCCAGTCCATCGCGAAAAACCTGCCTGGAAAAATGAACGCACTCAGTGTTAGAACCGAGAAACTATTGGACACAGACAGCAAAGTGAGAGGAAGAAAGCTACCTTGCAGCAAAGAGATCAACAACCAATAAGTGAATCCAAGCAGAAGCTAATGTCATCTCGTTCGAGAACATCCTTCCTATACCAGGCAGCTGCAAATAATAGACAGGCAGGAAAGAAAGTTTCATGTAAGAGGTTCATAACTTATCAGAACTGAAAGTATATATGCTAATGCATACCTCAGGAAGCCAGTATTTACTTGCAAAAATCAACTGTAGCGTTTCGGGAGTCCAAGAGAGGTATAGCAGATAAGCATAGAGAACTCCCAGCACAATATACGGTATACTACTTTCCATGGAAATTTTCGTCTGCATTTCAAGTGATTTGAACCAATTAGGTGCATCAGTTTAAGTTCAGCAAATCATGATAAAAAAGGGATCTTCAACCTACCGAAACAAGAGACGAGGAATTTAAAAGTCACAAAGACTAAATTTGAGATGAAATGTGCCATCAGTACAAGCATGTATGACAGGGAAAGAGATGTAACGATTTGGGGAAAACACACACATACACACAGGATTGAGCATAAACATATAACAGCTTTCAAATATATACGAGAATTATGATAATTAATCTACATGTCGAACAAAAATTGATACATTGAAAGAGAACCAGGGGACTGAGATAAATACAGAAACATACTAGTTCAGCTTTAGGTGCCAGAACCATGAGGGCATAGAATGGCAGAACTGCGGTTGTTCCGAAAGTAAAAGCAGTGCTAGCAATTTGAGAACTTGCCAACCCTGAAAAGAAATAACAACATTAAACTTAGTTTATCAGTAATATTTGAAACTAGGAGTTTATCAGTAATATTTGAAACTAAGCCTAACTCCAGCCGCCCCATCCCCTTATCCTTGCACTAACATGAGGGGCACGACAGCAAACATGTTACATATGGATCACAAGAACATGAAATGGCTAAAAATTATTACAGGTTAGACAAAACTAATTAAGAAGATTTTCAACTCCTAAAGTTATCAAACCACCATATGACACTGCTATTAGTAACCATTTATACAAATTATTCCAGGAGTTTCCGATAGAGAGAACAACAAACTTAAAAGTTAGGGGCGAAGTGTTAATACCAGATGTACCCAAATTCCAACGGCAAAGAAATCACCAATCAATTAGATGGAAGGGGCTTGGAGAACTGGATGCGGTCTCATGCAACATAGAACAAGTCATATGGGCAATAGCTGATGGTTTTGTGTCTGACTTTAATCTAGTCAGTTAGGCAGGCAACACCCACATTCAGCAGCTCAAACCTGGTGGTCTCTTAGTTACAGATTTTCTCTGTTCATAATACTACTCCTACATTGTTTTGCACATATGGGGCTACTTCAACGTCAGTACTCCCAAAACATGCTACGGACTTTCCAATTTGCGTAGTTTCGTTGGACTTAGGCATAGCATAAGTTACTTGCGCATTTTCATCCTAAATTTGTACCTCAAAAACCTCTCTGTGCTAGGACTTCGTTACTAGAAACGTTTTAAGGAATAAACAAGTTACTAACAGGCATAAAACTACTTTCAAACATTGCAAGATACACATAAAGTTATATCAACCACGCAACATTACAAATGATATTAAGAATAAACGACTAAAAGGAATTAAAGTTGCAGAGGGGGATCACATGAAGCATATACTCCAGAGACTTTTCGATGCGGAACGAATGTCTCATGCTTTGGTCTCACAGTAACTCTCGAACCTCCGACAAAACTCCAGTTCATGTGTAAGTGAGCTCCCACAGTCACAAGCTGATGACCAAAGAGTTCAGTGTTACTACTTCTGAGCAGAAAAGGGAACCTTTGTTTCCTTCGATCAATACTCCGAGGTCCTACACTCTTCTTAGCGTAGTCAATCTATAAGAAACGGAAGTTTAATCGTTAGAGAAGCCCCCAAACCAAACATGTTATGAATTATTTTACAGCAGAAGCACAATATAATTACACGAGCGACCCATCAAGCCATAAAAGAAGAACAATTATGTAGCTTTAAGGTCAAGAAAAACAACGCTCAGCTGCACCCAAACTGCAAATCCATGGACAAAACATAACTACTTTCAACCCTATATGCAAGATTAGAGATTACCCATTTCGAGAGGATCATAAATTCATCCAAAACTACCAAAAAAAATAAAAAAGTTTTATAATTTAGGAAGAAAAGATTACAAGAACAAAAAAAGGATACCTTGGAAATGGAAGAGAGTGGAGAGAGGGAAAAGCAAGAAGAGAGGGCCATGTGCTCGTTTTGTTGCGAGAGCAGACAACCCAGGAAGACAACAATAATGGCAGATGCATTTCCTTGGGTTTTATTAGGAAAAGAAAACAAAAGATAGGAAAACGGAACGTGGGAAGCTGAGTTGAATAATGGAGGTAGAGGAAAGTATGGGTTGGTTTCCACTGAGAGAAGCGCAGGACGGACAGCAAACTTGGGTGAGAGAGAGAAGCAACTACAAAAGCAAAGGCGGCATTAGCGACAGTGGTGGTTCATGTCATACATCAATCAAGTTTGTATATTTCTCTTACGCTACACACTTTATTTTTCGGAAGTTATTCGTTTTTTTAATTACGATGTGATTTTATTTTAAAAAGATTATATTCACACATGCAAATTACTTCATCCATACATTTTTAACTTTTTAATATTTTTCTATTAAATGTTAATGGTGTGGAGATAATATTAAAAAGTTAAAAGAGTGTGGAATAAGTGATTTGAGATGTGTGAATATAATATCTCTTATTTTAACGTATATAATGTTATAATAATCATTTAGTATTATTAGTGACATTATTTCTTATTTGTATACGAGAGGTTGTTTTAGATTTAATTTTCGTCAAAGACGAATTTAAACTGCATTATTGCTAGTTTGTTATGAAACTAAGCTCACCTCTGTAGATAATATTGTTTATCAAAAAAATAAAAAAAACCTTCCACATCATCTTTTTTGAAGTTATTCTTATTATTATTTTAGTGTCCAAGTAAGCAATAAGTGGGATCCATTGTTGCTACATATATATTTAAAGATGAAATTAATTGGGACTTAACGGATGTGATATTTTCAATAAATTAGATACATATTTGGAATGTTTAAAAAAATTAAAACCAATTTAAAATGATCCTAAAAAATCAGAAGGTTTTAAGTACTTAATTCTAAATAATAAAGTAATACAATACATTGATTTTCTAATAGTAATCGGGCCGCCTGACCAAGAGCCTTCTCGTGTGAATGTATGCGCTCTGATAGTCTGATGTCCTCAATCGCGCCTTAAATGCACAAATCATTTTCAACCAAGGAGTACGTAGATTAACCGTTACCCGCCTCTATTAAATAAATAGGTAAATTAACATTCACACGTGCATTTATAAGAATCAAGATTGTCGTTGAATTCTCTTTGTAAAGATTTTAGATATTCGTGATCGTGTCCGTTCATCGTATATCATATGGTTAAAAATCATTTTAATTATTTTTATTTTAAAATTAAACACAAATAGTACCTGATAAAAATTGATAGTACGATTTACGATAAACGAACATGATCCACAGATCTCAAGAATTATGAGAGGATCCTGTTGGCATTTATAATCAAGAAAACCTCAAATTAACTCAAATAAGCTGAACAAAAAAACGATGTTTATTAAATTAAGGACTAGTGCTCATCATCGCCGAATGAGAAAAACACAAAGTACGTAGTTTTAATTTAGGTCCAATTGTAGAGGTTTTCCCAAACGTCGTTTATTATGCTGTAAGAAAAGAAGCCTTCTTCTGCAACCCGCCACTGGCAATGATTCATGCAACGTTCTTGATCCCTCTTGGCGTCGTATATGTCATGGGAGGTTTGGATCCATTTTCCCTCAGGATTTTTCCACTGAAAGTAGCAATAGAAAAGGGTTGTGTCCAGAGCGTTATTCTTGAATTTGAAGCTGAAAATCTTGCCATATTCGAGTACATGGTTTTGCAGATCGTCGTCCCCGGACTTGCAATGAACTTCGATTTTAGCCTTCGAAGGGTCCATAACGTTTTGTATCTCGAGAAGGACCTCCCCGGGCAGCCATGCCGAGACCGGACGTGAAGATTGGCCCAGTGTGAGTACCACCACGGCAAAAAGAACGAACATAATACGGCTACTCCCAACCATTGTGTGACCAAACCTAATCGTTAATGCTTCCCGAGAGTGATGATTCTTGTTCATGTTATATGTTATATATGCACGCACACATATCCGGACTACTCTTTTCCTTTTGGTTGGACATTAACATACCATGTATGGTTTTGGACTGAATCGGGAACATTAATCGGGTAAACTCAGATTTCATGTGTGCAGATTCAAATTTGTCACCCAAAAGTTATTACTTATTACCATGTAAAATTCTGACAAATTTGGGAAAATATATCCGACTGATTCATCCCTTTTGTTAGCATTCCATCCATATGCATCATCGCATGCTTGTTAAATTTTTAAGGTAGGCAATCAAGATTTATTGATTTGTCAATTTGGAGAGTATGAGATATTTCGGGTTTTTCAACCATTAAATCTTTTGTCAAAAACACAAAAACCATAGAATTTCTCGTCGCCGTTCCTCTCATTTAGTTTAAGGCTTATTTTTTGCTACACTCTCTAGAACTCGATTTCAATCCCACTTTACCTTTTAAAACTCAAAAGTTGTCAACTTACTTTCTGAAACTCGATTTTGATCTCACTTTACCTCTTAAAACTCAAAAGTCGTCAGCTTACTCCTTGAAACCCGATTTTGATCCCACTTTACTTCATGAAATCCAAAACTCATTACTTTACTCCTTGAAACTCAAAATTCGCTCTAAATTGTCTTTTTTTAAAAATTTTTTTTTTCTGTTTTTTAAAATAAATTCATCCATTCAAATTTTATAATTGGTAATATGTCAAATCACCCATGAAATAATGAACAGTAAAAGGAAAAAAAAATCATCTCTCTCTCTTCACCAGCCACATCCATTGAGAACACAAAAAATAACGAAATCAGTGGAACTTTGGTAAGATAGTTGGAGATGGAGCGAGAAGAGATGAATGTATAGATAACAACTAGGGAGAGATGGGAGAGAGAGGTCGGAGGGATGAAACCTAGGAATTGTTTTTACTATTTTTTCTACTTTTCTTTTAAATTTTTAATATGTTATACAATGCTTAAAAATTAATTAATTTTTTTTTTTTTTTTCAATCTAAACAAACTATTATGTCATGGAGTAGATAAAACTAAGCCAAAGTGAACTGAATATTGAGTTTCAAAGAGTAAAACAATAGCTTTCGAGTTTTACCAGGCAAAGAGAGATCGACATCAAGTTCCGAAAAGCAAAGTGATGACTTTTGAGTTCTAAGGAGCAAAGTAGCAACTTTTGAGTTTCAAAAGGCAAAATGAAATCGAAATCAAGTTCCAGGGAGCACAGCTAAAAATAAACCTTAGTTTTTCAATCATCATCCTTCTGTAAGCCCCAGAACACTCGATGCTTTTATGGGAGGTGGATTGTCTACCCTCCCATTTCCATACCCTTCCCATGCCCTCCTATGATGTGTGATTACAGTTAAGCCACGTCAACATTTTATATTAATTTTTTTATAGAATAATAAAACAAAAAGTAATAGGAATATAAAATATTGACGTAGTTTAACTATAACCACACAAACAGAAAGGCATGGAAAGAGTATGAAAATGGAAGGGCAGACATCCCTCCTCCTCCGCTGTTATGGTGGAGCTAACAGGTGTTTTGAAAAGACATCTCAGAAATTCCAGGAGGCCGATAAACAAACTTGTCATACGTCTTTTCGGACCCAAAACAAAGAAACACAACCTACAAATCTACAGTTAAAAACATTAATCCGACTTCCCCAATCAAGCAAAAGTCGCCAACACCAAAAATGGCTAGAAATTTTCCATCATATGGATGGTGCTTTACAATCAATCACAAAGAAACTACTACTGAGGGGACTTTCCTTATGCCCGAACGCAGATAGCAGCTCTCTCCCCTTTCATCAACATACCAATTTCATTCCGTTTCTTTTTTTTTCTTCTGAACACTAGTCGATTAGTAAATATAAAAACTACAAGGAACTAAATTAAACACTATCCTTTCTAAGCGATTGCCTCTCATGTAGCAATCTCATCAACCTCGGAATTAAATACAAAACTTGGAAATGTGGTAGTAATATCCCTGCATTCAGTCAAGAATAGAAAGATTTCAAAACTAGTGAACTTTTTACGAAACACTGACTTCTACGCATGAGATAGAAAAAAACCGTTCCATACCGAAGATAGGGGAGGGTCATGATCTTTAACAATGACGGATTCTTTGAGACAAAATTGTTCCATTCATACTTGTCTATCTTCCCGTCTTGATTTACATCAGCTTCCAAGAAAGTCTGTCCACAAACATGAGAATCTAATAAATTTGTGATGCCAAATGGCAAAATTGGAAGAAAAAACATTGACAACTCTAAAAGGATGACTCTAAAATGTGTTTACTGTGAATCTCCACAAAATGCACCGAAATTGGTGTATAATATTTAGCGGATAAACAATCTGGAAGGCTTTGATGAGTTTCAAAAGACAAATGTATACACTTCTGTGTCACCTGAGGTGGTCAGGCATTTCATCAATGACAAATGACAACATACCTTATCGAGAATTATCTCAATGGTCTCATCAGCCAGCTTCATTTCAGATTCACAAAGAAGTGCAATTAACATTTGTTTGACCTGCCAAAACCAAAAACAATGAAGATGCATACAAGGAGGTTTAATATTATCGTAGGTGAATAGATTGCATTACCGTAGTGCGAAAAGTGTTATAAAGGGAAAACACATGAAAAGAAAAATTACAAAGACACACTCAAAAACTTTAAAAGATCTGAAAATCTATACAGGAAGAAATTTAGCAGACTTGCGTATATTCATAAAGAGTTTCAGAATATGGAAGTGAAGTGATACAAATTATAATATATGCTCAAACATTTCCAGTGTATTATTCTCTTTCGGCTCAGATCTTTTTGCTCATATTCTCAGAGCTACAAAAAGAAAGGAAAAATCAAAGAGTTTACAAGCTGCTGAAAATTTTGACATCCATTTTGTGAGAATTCTAACAAATTATCTGTCAATATCCTCATCCTTCTTCTGGTGTTTAATAAGATTAGCTTAATATAGTTTAATTTTAAACCCATGCGTGCTGCTCAATCACCCCTGCAATAGTGTAATGTGTTGTAGTTTCAGTCCATGAATGACAGAAAGATACTGATTACAGTCCCACTTCCTATGGGAACACAATTTTTAACCAGCCCTGCAATTCTAATTGTTTTATATCCTAACCCACTTCAGCGTACCAAGATGAAGCATACAATGTAAATAAAGAGGGTAAAAAAAGACGAAGATGAACACCAATATACCTCTTGGCGCTCAATAAAGCCCGTGCTATCCAAATCATAAAGCTTGAATGAAACTGCAACACAACATAAAAATGCAAACTTTAGAATATAGTACAGGCATTAGAGGTTCTGTGGTAAATAAAGGAACTCTGTTCTTTGAAATACATTTAAGATATCTATGTGTTCATTCAACTTACAGTCAATCTTGTCTTCTAGCGAGGCATTGGGATGGAAAACATTGAGTGATCTCACAAAGTCGGTGAAGTCAATCACACCCTTCCGTTTAACATCAAACATATCAAATATCTGCATATAGAGTTGGTTCAAGAACAAAAGTCAAAACTTGAACCAAAACAGAAATTTAGAGAGAAAATGGTTAGATTCACCAGGTCATATCATGATTCAGTGAAATATAGGAATTGAATACCTCCAATTACTCTAAATTTAAATTACATCTAGTTATTAATTTAGGCGGATGAATCTAATTAAACAACTGATGCACCTGCATAAAGTTAATTTGTTCACCACAATACAGAATGTGGACAAATAGATTGAGCATAAGTCAACAACCTATGCATAGCTGAAAGTTATATTATCACCAGTCATCTAATGCGTGAACTGTTAAAAAGTACACAAGTTTCAAGAAATTAGTTTTATATGTTACTGGAATATACTTAACAGCATGATTTCTATGTTTATACATACAGCATAATCTGCACACAATAAAAAACTACACTAGTAATTAAAACTATAGATACATACCCGATTTGCAAAGAGATTTTCTTTCTTTCTATTCTTGAAAATGGCTAGCTGAAATTCTTCCTGCATATTCACCAAGAACACTCAAATGTCACATTTTCCTAACAGATATTTGCACACAAACTTTGCAGTATTACGTTAGTAAATAAATGTTTATCAAAAACTTTTGACCAGACAGTATAAATAAATACAAATATTTTTATGTATAAATATGTGTAGGCTTAATTCTAAACTGATTTTAAATATATATATTTGGAACCAAACCGTAAAAGCGAGCCATCCTGTTACATCATGTAATACACTGACCAATACAGTTTAACACCGTTGAAACTTTCAATTGTAAAATGTTGTTAACATTAACTGTAATACGAACATTAGAAATCCAAGTCCTTTTCACTTTAATCAAAACTTGAAGTTCTACAATAAAGAAGGCTGGGAGAGAATTAGCATGATGGTTGCAAGCAGGTACATACCTTGTTTATCAACCCATCATCAATCACAGAACTGCTGATACTCTTATATAACTCAAAGAGTGCTTCAACTTCACTAACAGTAACTGGGGAACAAAACGAAAGCGTTAAATTGGTTTGAGAATGAACGAGTAAGTTTGTGCGTGTGCTAGAGAGAGAAAAGAGATTAAATGATCAGTTTAATTATATTATTATGTCAAAATACCGCGGCAAAACAAATATTGTAGTCAAATTCCTTGATTATCTTTTGAGGCCATAACCAATTAATTGAGGTAGAATATAAAGGTTCACATAGGAAACAAAGCCTAATAACAACAATTGAAACTCAGGAAGTAACATGAGATCCAGTGATCTTATATTTTAGACACAAAAGATAAATATAATCGCTGAGAGATACGAAACAAGTAGAAGAACCTATAAAATAAAAAGTCAAGATTAATAAAGTGTGTACAGGGCCTTCATTGACAACCAAAAGATTACAACAAACTACGGGGCGTAAACACATGGTCATCATCGTTCAAAAGGAGAATGCAAAAAACACTAATAAAAAAGAGAACATCGAACAACTTACAAGACGTTTGCGAAGCAAGACTCACGGGATCCTCGTGTCCAGGAAACTGCCGCCTTGCCTTAGAACTAAAGCAACCCATTTAGAGCATCTACCAACACCAAACTTCAGCTCACCCTCCCCTCCCCAGGCCTTATGCCTCCTTTGAACCTAAAAATGGAGACAACGGAACAGCACATTAGTGAACAAGGCAAAGGAGTAACTTAGAATATATCACCAAACCAGTCTGGAATAACACATGGTAAATCTTATCCCATAATTATCTTGATTTGTAGCTGTAATTAGTAAAAATCTATTGCATAAATGCACGAGGAGTAATTGGAACCATCTTTCAACTTGTTCAAAGAAAAAAACACAGTCAAGATGAACTCAATCGTAACAGCCATTCAATTCCTTTTAAAACAAATTAATTTTTAAATGTTTGCCAAATTGATTACAGAGAAAATAATAGGAAGTTTGGAATTGCTTTTGCATGCAAAGTTCCATGAATGTAAGTTCCATTTTTTTTTCTTAAATTCCTAAAAGCTAAATCAATAAATCATTTTCCATTTTCCTTTGCAAATATCAACCCAATGAAATAGTTGGATTAAAAACAAAAACAGCAATGATTTTCCCAGCAACCAAACAAATAACTTCAGAGAAAAATAGAATAGAGAAACCCAAATCACAAAACCCCCCAAAATCTTAGAAAAATCAGAACTTTCTCCAAAACACATCATAAAAACCAGAAATAAATTGAACCCACAAAAAATAAGCAAAAAGAAGGAAACTTTATAGCACGGTAAAACGGGAAAGAAGGTAAAAACGACTTACCGACCAAGAATTTGGCCGGAAAAGCTTGGCTGCCAATTGTGGAGAGGGAAAAGGTAACGATACAGATTCGGAGAGGCAACGAACTGGAAGGGAGGTAGAAAAGGAGAGATGGGTTACTTCCGAAGAAAAAGAATAGGTAAATCGGACGGCTGAGGTTCAGTTTGATCACGAACTTCTCGGGAAATTCACGCTGATTTGTCTAAATAAAAGCTCTTTCCGAAAGCCCAAAAGAAAACAACTAGGAGGCGTGGGAGGAGGAGGAGGAGGAGGAGGAGGAAGAGAGGATTGCCCTGCACGCGGGGTCAATGCGCGTGATGGGCTTTTTGATTTTTAAAGAAGGGGATATTCTTCTTGGTAGAAATGAAAGGGATGTTGAGTTAGGCCTTGCTGCATACTTAGGTTAAATTTTCGTTAAAGTTGAATTTGAATTATATAATTATTAGTTTATTATAAGGTTAAGTCTACTTTCCTTTTATTTAGTGTAAATAATATCGTTTTTTCAAATGAAAACTAGCATTTGTCTCCACATTTTATGTATATGAACACATATTTTTAGAAAATAAGAAGGAGAGAGGAGGGAGAGAGAGAGAGAAAGTGAACGTGGGTGAGTGAAATGTTTTTGTTTTTGGGTTTTTTTAATTTTATTTTAAATATTAGATATATTTTAACATCACCTTTAGGTAAGGCTTTAATAAAAAACAATAAAATTTGGACCTGTGAAATTACATTATTGCCCTTTTTTTGTGTGATAGAAGATTAAGCTGTCTTTTCACCATCTTTTGTTTGACAAAGAGGGTTTCATTAATTAATAGAGATCATTTATGAGTTAGGTCCTTTAAAGGGGAATTGTTATTAGCAATTTAAAATAGGATTCATTAGATATTGGTCCTGAAAAATCATGATTTCTAAACATAAACCCACATATAATTAAGCATCCAACAAAAACCCAAAAGTCAAATAAACTGCATCATAAGAATATAAGTAACCTACTAATACAAATTATTTACAATTTTTGCCACACCCACACTTGAAAATTAGCTTCAATCAAGGGCCTTAAAATCTAATTAATCGTCCTGACATTTTTTCTATTTATTTTTTTGTAATTTCTACAACAATCTAGTGCATTACTTTAAATAATGACTACATTATTATTCGTTGTAATTATTCTCCTTGTATATAAAAGTTAAACGTCCCTACTCTACCTATATAAATAATAATATTCTCATGTTTTGTTGGCATTTTCCCTAAATTATGCAAGTAGGTAAATTAATAGAATAGTAGGTAAATTATGCAACTAGGTAAATTTCAATAATAGTATGTAAATTATGCACACGTGATTTACCAACATTTTTTATGTTAATCAAATATCTAGATTGTATATGTAAATAATTTACCTATAGTTGATTATTTTCTTTTTCTTTGTCTTGAAATTAATTTACCTGCAATTTTTATCTCCTTTAATTTATATATTTTTACTTTGACAACAATTTTTTATATATATTTTAAAGTACAATAACTTACCTATATATAATATGGACACGTTGTAATGGTAAATTGGAATTCAAGAGCCAAACTAACCAACAAATCCTTAAATTTATATGCAAAATATTATTTTTGTAAAATCATTAATTCTGCTTACAATTTGCATAGAATTAATTGTGTACATTAACATTCAATAAGGGTGTTTTAGGCATCCGAAAATTTTTAAATGGGTAAAGTCAAACATAATTAATGAATTTGCTGATGTGGAGTCTAGTCAATGAGTTTTATTTGAACAAAAAAATTTACGTCGAGTTTTATGTGAAGAAAATTGAGTTCTAGGGACTAAAATCATATTTTCAGTTTAAAATAAAAAGAAGTAGAATTTAGCTGTAATTACCTAAATGATTTATGACTTTTTTTTTTCCATAAAGATTTAGGACTAATTTTAGACTTTTTCTTTTTTTCCTTTCTTTAATTTAGGAAAGAAAAACGAGTTTCCCCATCTTGTGATCCTATAACTGAATTTATCCTATTTTAATATAGGAAAATTATGTTAAAATATTATAAGGAGTGGACTCAATATCCATTTTATAGATGAAATACTTTGGTTAAGTGGATATATTTATCAAATAATATCTCTAGAATAATCTTTCCAACTTCAGCCTACGGATAACACATCTTAGCCAACTAGATGACGACTTATTGCGCGAGATCTCTCCCCATGACTGGCCTTATGCTCTATAAATATCCCATTTCCCCGCCAAATTTGAACAAGCTTCTGACTTAAGCATCAGAGATCTATTGGTCAAACCCCCTCCTTGGGCACATGGCTTTGGTCTTCTTTTTTGATCAACACCAACAACAACAAAACCTTTTCCCACTAACTGGGGTTAGCTGTATGAATCCTAGAACGCGATTATGCTCGGTCATGCGCCACGTCTTTTGTTAGATTCAAGTAAATTTTATTGAAAGAGAAAGTTAGTACAAGGTAAGGTTACAATGAAACGGGCCCAAAGTGAGCAACCTACAGCAACATGCAAATAGAAAAACCTAGACATGAAAATGTAAAACGACCACATCCATCAAAACACTTGCATCACTACCTCGGATCCATCACTAACACCTGGAAGAAGGGCCAAAGAACCAAAAGGATGAACGGAAAATAGGGGTAGGCAAGCTACCAACTGCTGAGAGCAATCCCATAATCCTACCAAATAGTGCAGAATGCACTTTAAATTCTACGAGCAACAATGGTAAATGGTTGAAGATTCACGGTGATGAGCGATATTTGGAGAGAAACAAGAGAAAACAGATCTAAATATAAACTCAGAGCAAACTGAGACTAAGCTTAGAACAACCTGAGACACAAAATGCTCATATCAAAAACAGCCAAAAGCTAAGTGCATAAATAGATAATCCAAATCGACAACCATGTGGTTTGGAGAAGGGAAAAATTGGGGGGAGGGGGAAGAGGGTGAGTTGGAGGAAAAGGTGGAAACCAAAAATAGGGAAAGATGGGGAGGTAGGGAAGAATCAGAGGGTGGAAGAAAGGGGAAAAGGGAGGAAGGTGAGGAGGGGTGGGCACTGGCTGACGCTGACCCCAAGCTGGAGTAAGGGGCCGACAGCTAGGAGGCTTTCAAAAATTTAGGGTTTTTGGGAGATATAGGGCATAAAGTCATAGGCAGAGAGAAAAACACACTACTGGTGGAATCAAGTAAGCAATTAAACGAAGTCGGTCTTTAATTAAATATGTTTATTTATTTTGCAGGTACAAATTCGTCTAGAACGAAAATGACGAATTTTCGCTAAAACACTAATCATTCTCTCTATGTCTCCTCAAGTAATTCAAATTGAAAACCTAGCTAGAGATTTCTAAGTTTATCTTTAACCAAGAGACTCCAAGCCAAAACATTAACACTATGTTGATGAGGGAAATAAATTTGAAATTTTTGACAAAAGTGAGAATTTATAAATTGATATACACTAATTCCCTTGTTTGGATTTGTACATATAGAAATTTAGAATTTTTGTGTGGAAAAAAACTTGAAATTTGGGATCTCCAATTCCCAAGTTTAAATTGCATGTAAATAAGTGTCATTTTCAAATTTTTATGAGTTAGAGTTTAAAAACAAAAAAAATTCCATATTCAAATTCTATTGTTCTTTTAGGTTAATCAAATAAGAAAATTCACAAATTTTGGAAAATGAAATTCTGTCATTTTTTTTTATTTCCACCATTTCGAAATTCTTTAATAATCTTAAATTTTCTCATCCAAACACTGTGTAAACAATCAAACTAATATCTAGGCAAAACTCAAGTGGGAATTTGGAGAGTTGTTCTAATTGGCTCCATACACAACAAAAAAACTTGTTGAAACTCGTGAACGTAAATTAAGGATTGTCCAAAGTCATGCCTAATGCAATGAATTTGTTTTTCAAATAAGAAAATAAATAAATCTCAAACGTGGAGTTAGGTTTTAAAATTCTGCAAATGGTGGAGTTAGGATCTTTCTCTTTAACGCACCTCATTCTCAAGTTCAAACCCTCCTTTCTTCTCAATGTAGACTAGTATAAAATATCGTTTATCTTAAAACTCTAAAAATATCGCTTATCTTAAAACTCTAAAAATATCGCTTGCTCGAGCTTAATTGATCCTACTGAGTTTTATTTTTTATGGATTGTTCTTGAATTGTTAACAGAGGCAAATACATTCTTCACTCGAGCTTAATTGATCCTACTGAGTTTTATTTTTTATGGATTGTTCTTGAATTGTTAACAGAGGCAAATACATTCTTCAAATTGATAATTTAATTACAATTTACATTCTTCGGGTTCGATGTAATTTTTAAAATGAGCTATGAATTTTCAATTTTCTCATTTTGCACTATAAGATATTGAATTTGTATCAATTTATGCCTTCGGTCAGATTTATTCTTTGATCATTCACTAAATTGATGATACGGTGAACATGAGACCCTTATATGGATTAAAAGGTAAGCCACTTTTGCACTGCATTAACAAAAAAACTTGTCAATTTAATGGAAAATTAGATGTTCAAAGAGACAAAAAAATATAAATGATACAATTTCGAAGCCTCATAGTGTAATATAAGAAAATCAGTTGATCGTAACTGACACACCCTGATCCGGAATGTTCACCTGGACTCTGAATCGACCTGTGCTGGTCGATACCATAAAGATGACGAAACCATAAAGTGTAGTGATGTGGAAAATGTGAATAAATTTAAACCTAAAAGTGCCTAAATAAAAAAAGAGTGAGCGGGAATGAACCCATTTCACACGTGATGTCAGAGCATAAGTAAAGTACAATAACATTAGAATAAAAAATATACCATTGGAAGTGATCTCTGATACCAACTTTGCCAGGAATCCTCGTTGACAAAATAGCTCTGCCACTAAAATCTGGAGGGGTGAAAAACAAGAGTGAGTGGGCCTAAAAATAAAGCTTTGTAAAACCTTTTCAAAAACGTATTAACCCCTCGCAACAAGTATAATTTCCAAAATATACATACTACGTATAGTTTGAAAATACTTACTGTAGCCTGCAATATCTCAAGAATTCAATACGTCATAATATTTCGTAAATAAACATCTAACGTCTGGTAATCACATAATCTCGCATAAACAAACATATCATATCAAGTGCGCATCGACATATGTTGACACACGAGTTCATGTAGAGGTATTCTGACATGAACAAGACTGAGTGTAATAATGATTTACGCTCTAGTACTACAATCACGTGAAAACTGGCGTTATGTGCATCACATACGAGTCCTAATGGCTTATAGCAATCTAGGACAGGACTGGCACCTATAA